TTCTCCTGTCTCAGCCTCCTGAGTGCTGGGATTACAAGTATGTGCCACCACACCCAGGTTGATGATGATATTTTAAAGCAGAAAACTTATCCACTTTGATTTCACTCCTTTGCAATTTGATTCGTGTCCACCTTTTGGCATCATGAATTTGTCTCCTCAGAGTGCCCAAAGTGGCACCGTGAGCTTCATGTGCAGATTTTTCACTTGATTTTCTTAGCTGAAGTGCCAAGAAGCAATACAAAAAAATTTTTTTTGGTCCCAGGGATTGAACTCAGGATCTTGCACTTACCAAGCAAGTGCTTGAACCGCTGAGCTAAATCCCTGGCCCAGCAATGCAAATTTTTGTTTGAATATCTATTTTTTGTTCTTTTGGGTATATACCTAAGATAGCCTTGCTGGGTCATGTGATAATTCTCTCCTGCATTTAATTTTTTAAGGAAGCGCCAAAATGTTTACCTTCGCGACTGAAGTACTATGGTGAATGTTTAAATAAATAAAAAAAACTAGGCCAGGTGTGGGGGCTCATGCCTGTAACTCCAGCATCTGGGAGGCTGAGGCAGGAGGGTCTCTGCAGGTCTGAGACTGGCCTGGGCTGCAAAGTGAGTTCAAGGCCAGCCTGAACTGCATAGTGAAGCGCTGTTTCAAAAAACAAAACAAAACACCCCAAAATCTTATTGCAGTAAAAGACAGATTGCCGCTAATCTTCCTCAAAATGTTCTCCATTGTGTGGAACACACTTATCATCCTTGCCACTTTCTGAAGAAAACAAACAAGCAAAAAAACTGGTACAAAACATCAAAATCAAAAAACAAAACAACCAAACAAAAACAACAAAAGAAAGTGCTAATAACAAAATGAGGGAGAGTATTTTGAGGGAAATTAATGGCAATGACTTTTACTATAATAAATTTTAAAAATTGAAACATTCATTGTATATTATGATTTCACTTGGTCCTTTACATTCCCACTAGAAATGACCTTGGCTTCCATTTCTCTGTATCCTCGCCAGCCTTCTTCTTTTTCTTTTTCTTCTTTTTTTGGTGTGTGTGACAGTCTTTTTTTTTTAAATCGGTACCAGGGATCGAACTCACGACTGCCTGCTTGCAAGGCAGGCGCTTATGCCGCTGAGCTAAATCCCCAGCCCCTACCTTTGCATTCTTAAAATTCATTCCATTTGGATGTGGTGTATAGTCCTTTTAATAGTTGCTGGATTTGGGTTGCCAGTATTTTTCTGAGGATTTTTGTATTTGTATTCATAAGAGGTATTACTCTATAGTTTTCTTTTCTTGTGATGTTTCTGTCTGACGTTAGTATCCATATAATGCTGGCCTTAGGTGGGATCTGTTATCTCTTCTTCCTGGGAAGAGTTTGAAAGGATTGATTTTAACTTTTAAAAAATGTTTTTAAAAATTCACCGATAAAGCTATCTGGTCCTAGGCTTTTTCTTGTGAGCCTTTTGATTATTGATTTATTCTCTTTCCTTGTTATATATGTTTATTCAGATTTTCTATTTCTGCTTGAACCAGTTTTTTAGTGTGTGTTTCTAGGAATTTGTCCATTTCCTCTTGGTTATGTTGCAGAAATCTGATATCAAATCAGAGGGAACACCCTTTGCACAGAGGAGCCTGGAAGGTCCCCTGGTGGACTGGGGACTATAACACAGTCCGAATCTCCGGTATGGATGGAGAGTGAAACAGACTTTTCTACATTTTGGAAGTACAAAAGCTGATTGCAGGTTCTCATAGAATTGGTTGCATGAACCAAATCATATGTTGTCAGGCAGATTTGTTCTGGGCAGGTGATTCCGAGGAGTTGCTTACCGTAAGGCATGAGCAAATAGGGGAGGGAACTGGGGCTGAGGAGGTGGCTGAAAGTAAGCATGTCCTTGATTAGTTATTTCAGCGGGGCAGCCCTTGAAAATAGAGTATGTTGGGGCTGAGGATTTAGCTCAGCGGCATAAGCACCTGCCTTGCAAGCAGGCAGTTGTGAGTTCGATCTCCGGTACTGGAAAAAAGAAAAAAAGAAAAAAAAAAGAAAAGAAAAAAAAAAAGATACAAAATAGAATATGTCAGACAGTACAGGCAGTCCAGATGGGTGTGGTCAGACTGAGGTAGGTTGGACTCACGCTGATTTGCAGTTGACATGGTCAGTCAAGGCTGGCGAGTCTAACGCTCTGGCCGTGTGGTGGGCTGGGTGAGCACATCTTGTCTTAACAGAGCATTAGACTTGATTTTTAATTTTTCTGTCACAGTTATATTATTTTTGGACATGATAATTTAGTATGCTTGCTGTCTTTTTGGGCTGCTTGCTCTTCCTATTACTAAGTGAACAGTGTTAAAATCTCCAACCAAACTTTCCAATGTGTGTTCTTTTAGTTTTGTTAATTTTTGTCTTCTGTATTTTGAAGCTATGCCAATAGCTATGCTAGCTGTTTATACTACAGATTTAGGATGGTTACACTTTCTTGTGGATTCATCTTTGTGTCATCATGAAAATGTTTCTTCTTATCTCTAGTAATGCTTTTGACGTTCAAATCTATTTTAAAGATATTAGTATAGCTATACTGGAATTCTTTTGTTAGTTGCATAGTATGTCTTTTTTTGTGTTTTTGCTTCCAAACTGATCCTTTATATTTAAGGTGTGACTTTTATATCATATTGTTTTTTTAAAAAACAAGACTGACAATATTTTTAAATTTGACTACTTTATGAATTATGATATATTTGATTTTTTGGGGGTCTTTTTTGAGACAAGGTTTCACTATGCAGTTTAGGCTGGTCTTGAACTCACTTTGTAGCCCAGGCTGACCTCAAGCTTACAGTGATTCTCCCGCTTCAGCTTCCTGAGTGCTCGGAGATATATTTGAGTTTAAATATGATAGAACACTGTTTTTTCTTCAGGCTTATCCATTCCGTGTTCCTTTTCTCTCTCCTTTCTTGCCTACTTTTATGTTAAGTATTTTTTAGAATTTTATTCCCAGTCTGGTAGCTAGTTGGTTGTTCCTTCTTTCAGAATTTTCTCTGTGGTTTGCAAATGCATCTCTGACTTACTGGAGGACTTTTATGACTTCCTAGAATTTTAGTTCCATTTACTGCTTATATACAGCTACATGTGTACATAACTTACACATTGCTGTCACATGCTTTGAAGTACTGTGTCTGTGCATGTTTTATCACTGCTTGTCACAGTCAGTGCTCAGAGTTACGCACGCTTCCTGCTGCTCTTCAGCTCTCTGCCTCTGCACGCCTCGAGCTGGAATAATTTTCCCTCTGTCTGAGAGCTCTCTTTCGATTTTCCTTTCTTCAGTTTTTTTGGGAAGTATGACTGGGTGTTTCTCAGGCCCCTTGTTCTCAGTGGGCCCTGAACTCCGCTTTTCACTCTCTGGCCCCACAAGCCGCCCCAGTCGCTCGTCTCTGGGCAGCTCTTGGGACTGGCGGGAGCCTCGGGAGCAAAGCTGCTGCCTGTGGAGAACGCTCTCCGCTTTCCCATGTTGAAGGATCTTAGCCTTGGAGTAGTCACTGATCTTCTATCTCAGATGTTTTATTAATATATCAACTCACACCTTTTCCTATTGGGAAGGTTCTTCTGCTGCAAGATAATTTATCATTATTAGGGCTGGAAATCTTGCCAGTTGTTTTCTTAATTTTGCAGTCCTGACTAATGGCTGAGGTCCGGGGAGGGAGTAGAACTAGAAGACAGTGTTATCGGTGTTGGTCTTGTACGCCTCTATTACAGATGCACGTCTCTGTGGCTCTCTGCTGCGGACGAACACACAGCTAGGTACATGTTAAAAACATATGTACTGTGTACATGTGAAACAGATGCATATCCAGGCACAGAGAGGATTTCCTTAACCCTTTGGAGAAAGTGTAGAAAATTCTTGCTTGTCAGTATATAAATCCTTGCACTATTGTTTTTCAAATTATTTCTATGGTATGAGAATATTTCATATGATGTTAATAATTTTTCTTTGTTAAAATGGTACCAACATCAATAAATTTGGGTAAATGTACTTGGGACCCCTGAAAAACTGCCACACACAAGCATGTTAAAGACTTGAAAGCATGTAAATAAGCTTATTTGATTATAATGTTATTTTTTGCAAGAATATCTATTCTTATCTCATGGAGTACTAGGATTCTGTAGGTAAATCTGGGGAAACCTTGCTTTTAGCAAACCTCAATTCACATAAGTCTCACAAAGGTGGGGCACCGCCTCGTGCGTCATGTGGGGGTGCTCTAAGAAGTCAGAAAGTGTGAGCATCGGGTTTGGAGGGCTCAAGCCCCTCTACTGCTCAGTAGCTAAAACAAGGCAGAACTTGAGGGTGCACTCCGAGGCTTGGTGCTTCCAGGAGTGAAGCCATCTGCTCCATTCTCTGTATCCGCCCGGGTCAGCAGGGGGCACCTATTTGTGCTGGTGGGAATTGACTTTTAACTTTGTAAGACCAAATTCTCCCTTATTTCACCTGCCTTTTGGAGGTGTTGCTGCTCCTCTGTGCAGTGAGAGGGTGAGGCTCAGGAGCCGAGCGGCCTGGGTTCAAGTCCTGGTGCCGAGTGACCCTGGGCTGAAGGAGCGAGCGGAGAGAGCACAGGCCTTGATGTCAGGGCCGCCCGGCCCTGCACTGCCTCGCTTTGATCACGGCGCGTCCTTCCACCTCGCTGCCCCTTGGCGCCCTTACTCTGTGGTGAGAAGGAAATAAGGCGATGCATGTCGAGTGCACACCTGGACACAGTGGGCAACCTGGCGAGTGTCAGGGTCACACTTCATCCACACCTGACTCCTTCTTCTGAGTTTGAAGAGAACCCCAGGCCTTTGTGGTGCTTGAAGAGAACCTTGAATGTGAAGAGAGTTTTGTAAACTCTTGGAGACAAAATCCAAGCTGTTTTATCTTCATTACTGCCCTTGATGCTGCCTCATCTCCTCTGGCTGGGCAGGGCTGGCTGTGGGGACCACACTGCTGTCCTTCCCTACTCTCAGGTGGAACAATTTCTCCATCACAGAACATTGGCAAGAAGATGTCCTGCCAGCAGTTCATTGCCAACCTGGACCAGCTGAATGATGGCCAAGACTTTGCCAAAGACCTCCTGAAGGTATTACCTGCTTAGGGTCAGCGTGTCCATAGGTGTGCACTGGGTGGGTGGAGAGAAGTCTCTGACCTTCAAAATCCTGGCATTCCAGACCCTTAATACCAGGGACAGGGCCACCAGGACTTTGGGACAGAGTTAGAGACTATCCAGCTCAATTGTTCTGTGTTCCCTGAGTTACTTAGGCTTTGTGAGATTTGTTTTTAATGCTGCAGTTATGATTGCTGTCACAGTAAAAATCCTCACTGTCACCAATAGCACAGCTGCCACCTCCTCTACCACGACAGTGCCTTCACTGCAACCAGCAGCAGCAGCACCAGCACTGTGGGGAAAAGCCTCATAATTCCTACCGCATCAGCAGGAATTCAAGGAATCAGTTTTCCTTTTGTCTTTTTTCTTTTTTTTGTATCGGTACCAGGGATCAAACTCACGACTGCCTGCTTGCAAGGCAGGTGCTTACGCCGCTGAGCTAAATCCCCAGCCCCCAGTTTTCCTTTTAGGATTAAGCCTCGGATGGATCTTTGGTCTTTGCAGTCTAGTAAGTTCTCCTCCTTGAGGGAAGAGGAACAGTACTTCTGGAAGACAAATGAATTCATTTTTAGATAGTGAATTTTAATAACTTTGTAGTACCAGGAGGATAGTTGAATAGTGAGGCTGGTGGTAAGTATGCACAATTATGTTGTCAATTAAAAAATAAAACTAAAAAAGAGAACATTGTCTCCACAGCTACCTTCTTTGCCATGAAAAAGCATTTATTTAGAAAATATATATGATATCAAATCACCATCCACCTAACTGCTTTTCCCCATCTACTCATTCACTCTACCTCTCCACCCACCCAGCCACTGAGCCACTTGCCTTCCTGAGTACACACTCTTTCACTTACACCCACACCTTCACTCCCAAATGCTGCCTAACACACTGGGCACTCACTGTGTACCCACCTTCCCCATCCCTTTCCCCATATATCTGTGTGCTCACCCATATTCCTGTCATCCATCCATCCATCCATCCATCCATCCATCCATCCATCCTGTTGAACATCTGCTACATGTTGAGTTCTAGATTATACACTGGAGATTCAATAGTGAGGCAATTCCTGACTTTGTGAAGCTGATTGTCTCCTCAAGGGACAGACAGTAAATGATTGCACCATCAAATACCACCCATCCATACATCCACCCATCCACTCACTTATGCGTTCAACAAATATGAATCAAATACTGACTTTGCCCATTAGTTGAAAGGATGCTTCCTCATGGCACCCTCCTTACTGGAGTAGATGGGGATTTCTGTGACTCTTTATTTGAACTCCTTTCTTTTCTTCTCTTCCAGACCCTTTACAATTCCATCAAGAATGAAAAGCTGGAATGGGCTATGTGAGTAGTGCGCCTGGGCACAGGCATGGGGAGACTAAGCTGGGAGTGAGAGTAGCTGGGGGTGTTACTAGGCCTGCTGACCACTCTCCATGGTGCTGATCCTTCCCAATCCAACCCCCTGACAACACCTGTACAGCTGGCCAACATATCTCTTTTTGGGTTCATTTTTTTTTCTTTTTTTTTACTTGGTAACAGAAATTGAACGCAGGGCCTCACACTTGCCAGGCAGGTACTGTGCCACTAAGTTAATTCTTGGCCCTCTGGGTCCATTTTGATAAACAGTGTATACTGTTTACATTGCTGTCAAATAGACTGAACTGCAGATTTAGTTCGATGGTATCCACAGCTGGTTTTCTGTACTGAAGAGGCACATATTCCTTATAACCCTGAGGGTAGGACTGTGTTCAAGGGATCACTGATCTTGGCAGTGAGGAGGGCAACTGTCACTTACTTTACCCTATGTGGTCAGTGAGGTGCTCAGGCATCTGGAGAGAGCGATAGTGACCATGCTGATTGGAGAAGCTACGAGACACCCTAGGTGGAACCCCTTCCTGCTCTGCTCTCCAAGGCAGCCTGTGGCTTTGGGTCTGTGTAGAGGCTTAGGGACCTCTATTCCTTTGATAGGGCTGGACTTTTCTACTAGGGCTCCCATGGTGAGCCCACACTTCATGGGCTTCATCTACTGACCTGCCCTCTGGCAGCATGAGGTGGTTCATGATGCAGCTTCAGTCTGCCCAAGGGTTAGTGCCAGTGCCCATCCACACTGGCTCATAGAGGGTAGTTGATGAGAGAGGATGTGGTGATGTGGGGACGGGCCTTCCTGGAGGTGGCACTCAAGCCTGGTACTTTCCTAGTGATGAGGATGAGCTGAGAAAATCTCTGTCTGAGCTGGTGGACGACAAGTTTGGGACAGGCACTAAGAAGGTGACCCGGATTCTGGACGGCGGTAACCCCTTCTTGGATGTCCCTCAGGCTCTCAGCGCCACCACCTACAAGCATGGCGTGCTGACTCGGAAGACTCACGCCGACATGGATGGCAAGAGGAGTGGGTGTCAGGCTGGGGGAGGGGGGAAGGGGAGGGATGTTGGCTCAGGTGCCCAGCCCCTGGCCACTCCTCTGGGGATGCACATGCAGGGGAGGCAGGGTAGGAGACACTGGAGTGGGTGTTTGTGGCTGCACTACCTGTGCCCCCCTCCCCAGCACCCCGTGGGAGACGTGGCTGGAAGAAATTCTACGCAGTGCTCAAAGGGACCATCCTGTACCTGCAAAAGGTGAGGTCTTTCCTAGGCAGGACCAGCTCAGTCCCATCCAGCCTTTGATTTGTGGCACTCAGGGGCTCCTGGGCAGGACCTAGGGCTTGGCGGGGTGGGTGGGGGGGAGTCTGGATCCTTCCTCCATCAGGGCCTTGGGACTCAGGTTCATGTAGGCCTTTGACTGTTTTGGGAGGGGTCTTTGAAATGTCCAGTGATTCTGTGGATACTTAGTGTCAGGCCTCTAGGGCAGACATGTACAGGAGAAAGGTACCTAGAGTGCTTGTCACTGGGAAGGAGGGAGACGGAAGGACAAAGGGGAGAGAGTGGGGCACATGGGGCCGTAGGCTGGGGCCTGGCAGTGACAGAACCCCTGCTCCACAGGATGAGTACCGGCCGGACAAGGCTCTGTCAGAGGGTGACCTGAAGAATGCCATTCGTGTGCATCATGCTTTGGCCACCAGGGCCTCTGACTACAGCAAGAAATCCAACGTGCTCAAACTGAAGACTGCCGACTGGAGGGTCTTCCTCTTCCAGGCCCCGTAAGATCCTGAACCTCTGTGTCTACTAGGCTCGGCCCCTGTACCATGCACTCCACATGCAGCCCTCTCTTGGTAGCCACACCCCAGATTTCCAAGCATAGCAGCCACAGAGCCAGTGTGTTTGTCCCTTTGGCATGGGGCAGCAGTTGCTTTGGGCCCTGCAAAGTGTAAGCTCTCAGCAGGCAGTGGGGAGTGGTTAGAAATGCAGCTGTGCTGGCCCATCCTTGATCTACCAATCAGGAACTTCGTGATGGGGCTCAGAGCTATGCTGCCACTAGCCCTGCGGGGCTGCCCACCTGTGCCAACATCCCTGAGGGATGGGGACGATGGACTCTTTATAAATCATCCTTGATTGTCAATCTGTGGTCCGGTAGGGAAGATGCTGCTCCCGCTGGCCTGTGGCGCCTCACTCTGCTGTGCGTCACACTTCTGTGGCTTGAAACTGGGTTTTCACATTTCAGATGAGCTTACAAGGAGGGAGATGGGTAGGTGAGGCTGAGGACCCGAGTATAAGGGCTGAGAAGGCAGCAGGGATAGGACAGGAGGGCTGAGGGGGACCGCCGCTTGCCCATTGCTGGTCATCTTCTGCGCTCACGGGCTCCAGGGCCATCAGCTCTGTCTAAGTCCACCCAGCCAAGTGCTCTACCATTCTGCCCTCCTTCCCCTGTCTATGTAAAAGTATGAGTGTCTGTACCAGGCCTGTTGCTGGCTACTGGGTGTGTGTGTCAGGTAGCAAGTTCTATTGTGAGAAACCGGCACCCACCCTCCGCCCTGTCCCCAGGAGCAAGGAAGAAATGCTGTCGTGGATCCTAAGGATCAACCTGGTGGCTGCCATCTTTTCAGCCCCAGCCTTCCCAGCTGCCGTCAGCTCTATGAAGAAGTTCTGTCGGCCCCTGTTGCCCTCCTGTGCCACTCGTCTTTGCCAGGTACAAGTGCCTGTGTTCATGGTGCCACCGCACAGGCTGCTGCCCCCAGCTCAGAACACTCAGAACACCGGGGTGGTAGCATCACCCCGGTTCTTTCTCTCAGTCCAGGGCGCCTGGCCCTGCACTGAGGGGCGCCAGGAAAGGACAGATATCCTCCTCCATGGCATGTGCCTCATCCCTGTTTATAGGTGGGGAGACTAAGGCCACGTGTCACACAGAGACCAACTCTTCTGTGGTGGATAGCATGGGGTGAGGGTGGGGGACAGCCCTACGGCGTGGTTGTGGGTTGTGTTGTTTGCATAAGTGTGAGAGGTCATGGGTGTCTTAGGGAGCTAGGGACAGGCGAGACATGGGTGCCCTTAGCCCGGTGCTCTTTTGATTTTACTTTACAAAATATTAACCTGTTACCTATGAAAATAAATGGGGTTCACTGTGATATTTCCAAACATGCATACATCATACACTGACCATGCCCATCACTCTCCCACCCTGGCCACTGCTCCTACACCGTCCTCCCAACTGTCTTCCCATTCCCTGGGCAACCTTCTTCTAAGTTTCTACAAATTAGTGATGACATGAAATACCATGTCTTTCTATGTGTGTAGCTCATTTACCTTAACATGACAGGATTTCATTCTTCTTTACGGCTGAGTTGTACTCCATGGTGTGTATTTCACACCGTATTTTCTTTATCCAGTTACCTGTTGATGAGCACCTGGCCTGGTTCTGTATCTTGGCTTCTGTGAATGGTGCTGTGATAAACATGGGGTTCAGGTTTCTCTTTTGCATGCTGACTTTGTCTGTTTAAGATGTAACCCTGGAGCGGGATGCTAGAAGTTGTAGTTTTGGTTTTTTGAGGAACCTCCACACTGGTTTCCATTATGGCTATACTAATTTACAGTCCCACTATATAAGAATTCCTTTTTCTTCACATCCTTGCCAGCATTTTGTTTTAAAAATAATATGCAAACTGTTTGATGTTTTCACTTATCCTTAGATGTTTTATTTGAATCCCTTCAAAAAACTCATCTCATCAATACTTCAGGGTTTCAGGGTGTTTTGGGAGAGAAAAGGTTGGATAGATAGTGGCGCAGAACTTGAGAGGCAGAGGGCAGGGAAGCATCAAACTGTCTGTCTGTCAGCCAGCGGTTCCTTTCCCTTTGGGCCCGTCTCTCTGTGGAGCTCTGGAGGTGTCCTTATCTGCCCAGAGAGCCTGTGTGCACATGCACAGAGACCACTGCGAGTCTACATACATGCACAGGCCACTTAGGCACACACGTGCACATGAGTACACTCCACACATGCCCTCATGTATGCATATGTGTCCACACATATGCATATGCATACCACCCCAAGGGGCCTGGCTGTATATACTGTAGTGGGTGGGGTGGGCGTGTACTTGTCTGTCATAGGTATGACTCTGGATCTGTGACTGTCATGTGCATCTGAGGCTAAATGTGGGAGAAGGTATATGTCCTGTGGAACCAGGGGGAACTGGGTAAGGTTGATGCTTGGTCTGTGTGCATGTCGGGTTTCCCTGAGTCCACAGTTGTATGTCTGTGGAAGGGAGTGTATATGGGCACATACTCTCTGGGGCACCGAGGAGAGTGGATGCCCCTGAGAGCGAAGGAAGGAAGGAGCAAGGTAGGAGGAAGGAGGAAGCTATGAGGAGCACTTCCTGGTCCAGAGCCTGGCTGTACCTCCCTGGGTTTGGGAACACCAGACAGCCTCTGTTTCCCTTTTGTAAAACAGCTCCTAGCCCCATGACCTCAAGAGTTGGGCCTAACAGTCCTGTCTTTGCAGGAGGAGCAGCTGCGGTCTCATGAGAATAAGTTGAGGCAGGTGACCGCAGAGCTGGCGGAGCACAGGTGTCACCCAGTGGAGAGGGGCCTCAAGTCCAAGGAGGCGGAGGAGTACCGGCTGAAGGAGCACTATCTCACGTTTGAGGTGGGCCTCCAGTGGGTGCGTGGTGGGGACCAGAGGAGGCCAGTTCTCCCCTCCACCTCCCACCACCAGCGTCCTCCCACAGCCAGGGGCTCCTCATCTGGGAGCTCCCTACCAAAAGGGATTCCTGGAGGCAGGCATAACCCTAATGATGAACATGGCTTTCTGTGGGTCAGTTTTACACAGCCCAGCTGGCAAATGAGAATTAAACAATTGCACCCCACCTGGGTCTCTCCAGGAGCGCTAGGGCGCTCCTACAGAAACAATACCACCTTTCCAGGAGCCTTCTCACTTGCACCTCCCACCCCAGGCAAGCCTGGCTTCCTGAGAAGATTTGACAGCGAGCCCACAACGCTTGAGAGGGCCTGGCCGCCCAGCGCCCTCCCTCACTCGGTCTCCAGTTTCTTTCTTTCAGTACCGGGAATTGAACTCGGGACCTTTCACCCGCCAGGCAGGGTCTGTGCCACTGAGCTGCATCCCTCTTGTTTTCCTCTTGTACACGCATTTAGTGACAGAGCACTTAATCTCCTTTCTTCTCATGCTGCCACTGTCTGCTCCCTACCCTGACTCTGCCAAGCGGGGCCTTTGTGAGGCGGGGCGGGATGGGGCACTAGGTTAGGGAAAAGGAGCGGAAGCACTTGCCTGTTTCGGACGGCCCTCCAGTGGGGGTGGTCAGACAGACAAACAGAAAGGCTGAGGCTGAGCCCAGAAGTCCTCAAACAGGAGGGGCAGGACTTCACCAATCTCAGTCTCTAGATTCCTACCTTGACTTTCTACTGAGGTGCAGGGTAGGGAGTAGAGTTCCCAAGGCAGGCCTGACCTTTTGAAAAACAAAGCTTGATAGTGTTTTGAAGTCTGCTCACATCTACTCTCTGCAGTGTAAAAATAGCCATGGCAAAAGCCACCATGACCAATCTTTGGCTAAATATTTGGCCTGATTTGCATTTCCCTTTTATTGACTGATTTCATCTTCATACCAATTCTGTGGGGACTGTACTGTTATCTCCATTTTATCGGTTGGGAAATTGAGGCTCGGAGAGGTCAGAGTACTTACCTGAGGTAGCACAGCTAAGAAATGCAGGAGCCAGGATCCTAACTTAGGTGACCATAGCTCCAGTGAACTGGCCTTTCCAGTCTCACTTGGTTTAATGCAGGGGTGGGAGGAGGTGAGCAAAAAAGGTCTAAGTTGGGCCTGGTGGCTCACGCCTGCAATCCCAGCACTCGGGAAGCTGAGGTGGGAGGATCGTTGCGAGTTCGAGACCAGCCTGGGCTACAAAGTGAGCTCAAGGCCAGCCTGAACTGCATAGCGAAAAAGACACGCACACACACACACACACACACACACACACACACACACAAAGAAAGGTCTGGCTCTCATGGCAGAGCTGGGGGAGAGGAGTTCCCTGACTATCGGTCGCTAGTCCTCCAGGACTCTAGACTCTCCTGACTGTGCTGAGGTCCTAAAGTTGAGGCAAGAGCCCCAGATACTGCTAAATCTCTCTTCTAATATTAATATCGATCAATAACTCCCTTTAATCATTTATTAATAGTTATTTCCTCATGCCCTCACCAACATGGGGCTTGTCAAATGTTTTAACTTTTAGTAATCTGACAGGTTTAATAATCAGTGTCATTATTACTGCTTTAATTTAGGTTTACATTGTTTTGAATTGTGGTAAAACATAACAAAATTCACTATCTTAATCATTTTTAAGTGTGTGCATACTTCTATTCATGCTGTCATGCAATCAGTGTCTAGAACTTCTTGATCTTCTCCAACTGAAATTCTGTACTTATTAAACAATAACTCTTGTTTCTTTTTCCTTAGCCCCTGACAACTACCCATCTAATGGCCACCTCTATGTGTGTTTTGTTTTAAATAGTACTGGGGATTGAATCCAGGACCTTGTGCTTGGTTTCACACTAAGCTACATTCCCAGTGTTTTTTCCCCCCTCTCTCTCTTTTGAGGCTGGGTCTTGCTAAATTCCTCAGGCTGTCTTCAAACTTAGGACACTTCTGCCTCAGTCTCCCACATAGCTGGGATTGCAGCCATGTCCCACTGTACCCAGTGTTTTTCTGTGATGTTGACTGCTCTCTATTCTTTATATACATGGAATCATGCAGAACTTGTTTTTTGGTGATTAGCTTATGCAACTTAGAATAATGCTAAGGTGCATTCGTATTTTAACATGCTTCAGAATTTGCATCCTTTTAGTTCTAAATCATATTTCATCATATGCACATAATCACTTTGTTTTCTGTTCACCAGTTGATGGACACTTGGGTTTCTTCCCTCATTTAGATACAATGCACACGAGTGTGCACATACCCCCAGGATGCTGCTTTCATCTCTGTTGGATACGTACCCCAGGGTGGTATTATTGCATCAGAGTGTAATTCTATTTTTAACTTTTTCAGAAACATCACTGATTTCATAACAGCAGCGCCCTCATTTTACATTCTCACCAGCAATGTACAGGGTTCCAGATTCTCCACCTCCTCACCAATGATCTTCTGCATTGTTTTTTGATAGTTGCCAGTGTAATGGATGTGAGATGGTATCTCTGTGGTCTTGATTTGTATTTTCCTAGTGATTAGTGGTGAATGTATCTGTATGCATTTGTCATCCATTTGTATATCTTCGTATTTTTGGTGTATCTTCTTTGAAGGAATATCTATTTGTGTCATTCGGTCATTTTTCATAATCTTTGCTTTGTTTTTTTTTTGAGATAGGGTCTTGCTATGTAGTTCAGGTTGGCCTTGAACTCACTATGTAGCCCAAGTTGGTCTCCGATTCATGGCAGTCCTCCTGCCTCAGACTCTGGAGGCTGGGATTACAGGTGTGCACCATTATCTGGCTCATTTTTAAACTGGATTGTTTGATTGTTATTTTTTGGTGTTGAGTTGTAACAGTTCTTTATACATTTGCGGTATCAACCCCTTACTAAATACGTGATTTTAAACTGTGTTCTCCCATTTTGTAGACTGCTATTTAACTGTGGGTTGTATCCTTGAGGTACAGAAGTTTTTATTTTTTGATGCACTACCAATTTTTGTCAATTTTTATTTTTGGGGCCTGTGCTTTTGGTATCAAATCCAAAAATCACTGACAATTATTTATATTTTTCAAAACTGGAACTGAAATTTCTGTGTTTTTATTGAACAGTTTATTTCCTTTTTATTGATTTTGAGAGCTCTCTGTGTGCTGAGATTAGTCTTTGACTATACAAGATACAAATACTTTTACCAACTTTGTTCTATGTCTTTTGATCTTGTTTTTGGCCTTTTTCTGTCCTTTCCCCAGAAAAGCCGTTATGAGACCTATATCCACCTTCTGGCTGTGAAAATCAAAGTGGGCTCGGATGATCTGGAGCGGATTGAGGCTCGGCTGGCCACCCTGGAAGGGGACGATCCTTCTCTCCGGAAGACACACTCAAGTCCTGCCCTCAGCCAGGGCCATGGGCCTGTGACTGGCAGCAAAACCCCTGGACCTGATACTTAGCTGGTGTGAACGTGCAGGCAAATGGCCCTGGAGGGGTCAGTGAGCACAATTATGGCCAGTGGCTGCTTGGACCAAGGTCCAGCAGTTGACGGGCAACCAGAGGAGTGTGGAGAGCCCTGTGGGCCAAGAAGATAGAGATGCTACTTGTGGCGTTGGGCCTCTTGCATCCTGGGCCATCTCTGGCCATGACTTTCTGCCCAGCCCTCGTTGCCTGCCCACATGGGGCTTCACTTTGTAGGCCAGGGAATGAATGCTCTAGCACCTTCTCACTGGAGGGGCCGGGAGGCTGCTGCTTCCCCAGGTCCCCTCTTCTTGCTGAGCTCCTCACTTATCCTGTGTTGTGAGGGCAGGCCTGGATCCCTCACCCTGTTCTCCTCGTCCATCCTCTGAGTTGACCAGCCGCAGGTCTGTGGACCACCAGCACTGTCTTCTCTTCCTCCACCTCCCAGCCACCTCTGCAAGAGGGCGCAGTTCTCCTGCCTTATTGCAATAACCCAGGACATGAGCTGCCTCACTCAGTGCCAAGCTGACTCCACTCACATGTGTGCCCACCTGTCCTCCCGTCCTCTGAGGCTGCTCTGCCTCCATTTTTGTATGGACATAAATGTATATAAATATATACATATAAAAGTTATATATATATAGAAGGAACTCTTTTAAAGATGGTTTTGGAACTGCCATCATCAGAGAATGAAATCAGATGAAAGAAAAGTGTATTTGGGAGCTCTGTTGTCTGTCATAAGGGCTGCCATATGGCCTTTGGTGGCCCTAACAGTCTGTGAGGAAAGATGAAGAGAGTACTGACCTCACCCTACCTGGCCTTTTCCCCTTCCAGCTGACCTGTTCCAGTTGGTGATTTTGGACTAAACAGACAAGATGTGTGTGCCACCCCGTCTGCTGTAAGGGTGTCCTGTGAATCAGTGGGATGGACCATGGCCCCTTTTTGTACTTAAATCTTTATGTTGTGCTATCAGGTCTATGAGCTCCAGAGGTGGCCTCTTGTACAGACTAGCCACACGGGAATAAAAGGCACTCCACCTTGCAGACAGCCACCTGTCAGCCAGCCCGAAGATGTGTGATGGAGGAAGGTTCTAGAAGCCACTAATTCTTGGTCTTGGGAAAAGGTGAATGACAAGTTGCTGATTGTTGATGTTTCTTTCATTTCCCTAGGGAATCAAAAAGGCTGAGCTAAGGTATATCTGGGAAGAATAGAGACATTTACTACATTCCCCTCTCAGATGGAACCTGCACTCCTCATACCAACAAGTGGATGGGATGAAGGCACTCTTGATGTGGCTGATGAGCCAATTCTTCCTAATGTTTAAATAGATTACTGTAGTTTGGCCAGCAATTTGGCCTCTGTGGTAACATATTTAGTTAATAAGATAAGACAACCTCGCAACTAAGTACCTAACATTTACAAGCCCACTCACATTTGATGCAGGGACATGTGACTAGGTGGAGGGATGTAGTGATTCAAATCCAAATTATTTAACTTGGATCAGCGGAAGTGTTTTGTAACTAAACCATCTGGTCTCTTCGTTTTGCTCAAGGGAAGTCAATGTCATTTAGATGGAGTTGAAAAGGCAGTGTGGTGACATAAAAGAGCTTGCTGTATTTCTCCACACTGCCTCCAATGTCCTTTGATTTTTAGTTCGGGTCCCGCCCACCACTTCATGAGGGTGAGTGATGACAGCAGAGTGTGAACACGTCGGCCTCAAACAGATGTGCTTCCCCGAGCACTAGCTGTGCCTCTCATCAGTAAAGAAACTTTTAGTTCACCTCCTTAATTGTATAATTATTTATTTGTAAATTATATACATGTACTACTGTACTAAAATACTATGTACATTATAAAACATACACAAAAATAGAAATTTTAAAAAGATGAGATGAAAATAAATCTAAATCAAAGTTCTAATATTTCTTCCTGTATTTTCATGGACCATCATGTTCCCCTTACAACTTTTGTCTCTAATACACTCGTTTTCTTGGACTATCCAAAGCCAGGCCCTAGTGAAACGCAGTAAGTGGTTTGCGCCACCTGGTGGTCCTGTCTAATGACTGCAGGCTCAGGACTTCTGTGGGGCTGACCCTTGAAGACAGCCTTTTGTGCCTTCAATCTGGTCTTCAGTGAGGATCAAATGCTGATTGCCAGCTGTGCTGTGGACAGTATGATGAGGAAAAAGTCAGACTTCTGGTCCTCATGGACCGCACAGTCTAGTGGGGAGAGAGACGGGTGATTATTATTTGGGATGCTGGGAGAGGGTGAGGAGAGACAGGGAAAATGATGCAGTAGAGGGGAAAAAAGAACATGGGGGTAGGAAAGAAAACTGACACATAAAGCCACCAGAATGTCCTGTGTATACCAGGCTACAGAGTGGTGAAAGGAAATTGTGCATCAGGACTTTGGCACTTTCCTGAGAGGCCATGTTAAAGGCCCTCCCAAGGCAGATGCTTGTGGGGCAGAGTGAGAAGCGGCCTCTGGTCAGCATGCTCTTAGGTCCAGGCCTTCCAGTGAAGACATCCAGATAGATGACATGATGGGGAAAAGGCAAGGAATTTTATTAGATTGTGGCCCTAGACTCCTGGCCATGTATGACGGGTATCCTAGAATCTAGGACAAATAATGAAGATATCAGATGAGGTCATGTGAAGATCAATGAGCTCACCAAAGGTCACTCCGGATTAATTGGGGGCCACACAGAGACTGGTGAGTTGGAGTCATGGAACTGGTTTCTGGCTGAAAATTTAGAAGGCAACAACTCAGAGCCCCCAAAGGATTAAATGAGGACCCTACAGTGGGTTTACCAACAGGTCATAGAGAGTTAGTTTGGGATCTCATAGAGGTCAGTGGTCACAAAGAAGAATTACTATTTATAGCAAACTCAGAGCAGAGGAGCCTGGATGAGACCATTAGATGGAACGGAGAGGGATCAGTGATTTTCAGGTTTGTGCAGCATTTAGTTTATTATTTTCCTTTGTTCCTTTGTAATAGGTGTTTCCCCCAGCATCCCCACAATGACTACAATGACTATAATGACAAAAGCCTTCCTTTATTTTTCTCACCTTCTCCCTCATCCAGTGTTTGCCACTCTGTGTGATTCAAGAATGCAAGGTTCAGGATACTGTCAGTACTGCCACTGAGGTAGCCACTTACTAGGCATCTTCCAGGAGCAGTTCTGGCTTATAATATCCACAACGACCCTTTGAGGTAGGTGTTTGCATCATCATTCCTGTGGAGGAAATCTAGGCCTAGGAAAATCACACAATTGGTGAGGGAGAAGAGCTGGCACTGGAGCAAACTCAGGCCCTGCGGGTGCCTAAGCCCTCTCAAGCTTATATCTCTCTACTCCTCTCATCTGTGGGTCTCTTGACTAAACACTTTCTGGGGCATTCATCCTGTGCATGTGCATGCATACATCCGTCCGCCCACACAGCCACAGGTGTGCATAGCTCTTTGGAGAGAAGAATTCTGGCTGGATCCTGGTTCCTGGTGCTAGGCACTGGTTTAATAAGTTAGTCAATGAGGGGATAAGCCTAGACATACGTTGCTGTGTCCATACCTGAAATTGTGTCTCCTTCACGAGGGGCTGCAGGTATAGGCACGCCCTGCCTCTGAGGGGATATAAACTTGGGGAAGAGCAATATCCTGTGGGCTTTTGAGCTGCACCTGCTGTGGTCCTCCCGGCAGTAAGGGTATCTATCATGATGCCTTGCATGTCTAAACTTTGCCTGTGATGTGCCCAAGGCCCCAAGGGTCATTTTGCTGCAGCTGTCCCAGTGCCAACCCCACCACCCTTTCTCCTCACCTACCCAGATCCGAAAACTGTTGCCTCAGCCAAGCCCCGCAACTCCAGGGCAGGGACTGAGCCCAAGTTCTAAGGCTGAGTTTGAAGCAGAGCAATTTGCGTCAGTCTCTTGGCCAGATCCCCTAACAGCCAGGGAGGGGACACCTTGTAAATGTTTTGGGAAAAGGGAGCATGGTCCTGGAGACTGGGGAGAGAGTCACTTGCTCCTAGAGATTGCCCTGGCCCTCTCTGTCATTGCAACATCCGCTCCCCTAGACAGAGTCCTCACCTGTCCTCCCTCATTACCTGAGGGCTAGGTACACACAGTCAAACAGCAGGTATTTCTGATTTTATTTATAATATAAAAATGTTCAAGTGTCAACAGTCAGGTGTTCCGACATTTCAGGGCAGGGTTCCCATTTGTTTCTGTTAGGGAATTACTGTTTTTAAACAATTGCCTTTTTTTCTTTTTTGTGACAAATTAGCATTGGATCCAGTTTTAGGGTTGGGGAGGTCAAGACTGGAGAAGGAACGGAAGTCATAGGTGGATTGGGGCCTGGCTGTGAGAAGGAAATGATGTAATTTTATTGCTAAAGGGGAATAGAATACACTGTGGAGTGGCTCTTCTCGGTCCCAGCGTGACCATGCATCCAATCTAAAGAATCTGAAATGCAAAGGACATGCAGGCATAAAATAGAAAAGACGGCCTGTAAACGAAGGTGCTGCAGAGGACAGAGGGCGTCCTGGAGGCCGGAGGGGAGGAGGAGCCGTGAACATTGGGCCCCTGACAGAGCTACCCCCTCCCTGGGCCGGGGCTGTTGGGGAAACCTCTTTATCTGTTCTCTTTTAGCAGCTGTGAGGAGTGGGAAGGGTCCCTCCCCATTCTGGTTGCTGTCGCTGGGCCTTTGTCTCTCCCTGACACCAATTTTAATTCTAAGCTTAGGATCCTGCCCTCTCCTCGCAGGGGGCCCAGGACTCCAGATCTGGCCGGAGGGGGCGGGGAACAACTTTTGACCTCTGAGTCTCACTCTCCAACCCCCGCTTTCCCTCCTTTTGCTCATTCCCCACCAACTTGGGATCCACCCCTATCCAACTTCGAGCAGCCTAGACTTCTCTCCAGGAGCCCCAGAATAGCGTACAGCAAAAGGCACCACAATGTAGGTTTCTATTAAAGAGTCAAAAAATTGGCCCATCTCTCTTTTTTTTTTGTTTCTTTTTTTTCTGAAGCTGTAAATCAGGATGTTACATATAAATAGTTTCCCTATAAAAACGTCTTTGCCGTTAGCTAGTATTATAAGACAATTTTTGCTAAAATGAAAATAAAACATTTTGTTATACTTTTTTCCTTTTATAGAAAATAAAAATATTTTTATTTCTGTTTTGCCCTCCTTGCTCTCTCCGGTCGGTGGTCTCTGTCTCCGTCCAGACAGTGGGGCGCGCGGGCGGGCCGGCAGGCGGCGAGGCGGCAGGGCGACGGGCCCTAGAGGGGCGCCGAGTCCTGCTTGGCCCGCGGCGGCGGCCCGCGGCTGTGTCTGCTGCTGGCCCGTGTGCTGTGGCTGTCCAGGGAGTAGTAAGTCCTGCTGTCGGCCGCCGGGCACAGCGGCGGCGAGTCCGAGCGCAGCGCGTCGTGCGCCGCGCGCAGGCCGAGGAAAGGCGTGCTCTCGGCAGCCAGCGCCCCGTCCGCGTCGTCCGCGTCGTCGTCCGAGGCCGAGCCGCAGCCCGAGCCGCTGCTCAGCGACAGCGAGTCCCGCGCCGCGCGTGCGCGCTGCGCCGCCAGCCCGTTGAGGCGCGAGCGGCGCCAGCGTCGGGGCCCCGCCGACGTCCTGCGAGACGCACCGCGCGCGCGTGGCCGCGGCGGGGGCGGGGGCGCGCACTCCTGCGTGGTCTCGTATTCGTCGTCCTCCGGGATGCGGAAGGGGCTGGCGGGCAGGCTGCCCAGGCTGCCGCCCAGTGCGCAGGCCCCGCGCCGAGGCCCGGGCCCCGGGGCGGGGTAGTAGTAACTGTCGTAGCTGCGTTGCATGTCCGCGCCGCCGGGCCCGGGCCCTGGCCCGGGGCCGGGGGGTGCCTGGTGCCGCAGGAGCGGCTGCTGCTCCGCCAGGCGGTAGTTGATAGGCGCGGCCGGGGGCAGCGAAACGGCGTGCGCTGAGTTGGGTGATGTGATCTCGAAGGTTGGCACCTGTGTCGCCAGCGAGTAGTGGAAGTCCACGGGCGAGAGACGCGCGGGCGTGGTCAGGGCCGACACGTACCTGCGGGGGAGGGAGAGGCGTGGGCTAGGGTCTCGGGTGGGAGAGTCGGCGCAGCCCCACCCGGAGTCACCTTTTTTGCAAGAGAGTCTGCCAGTGAGTCTCAGTGGCTCCATCTCCTGCCTGTCTCCTTATTGTTACATGCTGATAACCATCGCGATGGTGGGAAGATTCTAGAAATGCATTGGGAATGAATTCGGACTGTAGCAGTTCTCCGTGAACAGTCACTTGCTATGGCGATATCACAGTCATGGGTTCAGGCTGGGACACTGTACCTGTCTTCTCTAATACAGTAATTATATAAGACTCTTAGGGGCATATTATACACAAACTGAGACACAGGACATAGGTAGAAAGTGGAGAACTAGCTTTTGAACTGAAGCCAGGCAGGAACCACGGCACATACTGCCCAATTCCAGAATTCACTAGTCCTAATTCAGATACCCCTGTGATCTGGACTCACTGTGCCCCCTAGGTCAGCCCATGGCTCATGGCTTCAGTGAGGCTCTCTCTCCCCCCATTCACTGAGGTATGAACTCATGAGCTCCCACTGAGCCACACTACTACAACCCTTTTAAAAATATCTTGAGACAGGGTCTTGCTTAGTTGCCCAGGCTCTCCTTGCATTTGGGATCTCCTGTCTCAGCCTCATAAGTAACTGGTGTTACAGGTGTGTGTATACTACACAAATTCCAATCGTAAAGCTGAAAGCTGCCTCAGGGAAGTAACCACTCACACCCCAGGTCAGGTCCTCAACCTCACTGAGGTGTCTATGCCTCGACCAAGACCCCTTGTTTCTTCAAAAGTTTGTCCTTGCCAGTATCTCCCAATATGGGTCCCGGGTGCCTGGCCCTTTGTCCGCCTGTGAGGCCATCAGCCTCTGCTTTAGGATATGGAGCATCCACTTCCACGGTCCTCTCTCAGCACAGGCAGGCACTTGCTTGCTCTCTGTAAACTAGCCCAGTGTCTCTGTTTTTCTTGACGCTCCCCTGCTGGAGGTCTGATCAGCCACCAGGTTCTACCATTCTCTCTTCTGGAGTGCACTCTCCACCTTACCCTGTGGCATTGGCCACTTTGTCACCCAGGGTCCCTCCTTCACTCTATGCAGTTTCTAGAGTAATCTTTTAAAAGTCCCAGCTCCGCTGAGGAGGCTCTTCTGTTGAATTCACCCAGGCTCCCTGTTTGGACTCAACTTCCATGCTCCCCACAGCCCTGCTCACCAACTATGTTCTTCAGTGACTGCTGGGACAGCTTCTATGGTGCTCGGTGTCTGCAAGGCTTTCCTTGCCCATCTCTGTACTTCTCGCTTCCTCACCAGTTCGTAAGGAGCCCTAGTTCTGTGGCTACTACTGGTGACAGTGGCAACAGGAATGAAGTAAAGAGCTCTGTGTATATTATCTTGGAACCATGCACATGAGGTATTGGTGCTCCCTGATCTACAGCGAGGTAAAGGTGCAGAGGGGTGGTGAAGTCAGGCTGGAAAGATTGATCTTGAAAAACCTGGCTGCCTTCTCGAGCAGCTGGACTAGGTTTCTCTTACTTGGTGTGATGCCCAGTGCTTAGTACTTTCTGTAGGCTGCTCTGAGCCTCAGTAGTCTGTGCCTGGGTGGGAGCTCTTCAGGAGTAGGACCAGGTAGGCCATCTCTGGATGCCCTGCCAGGCCTGGCTGGGAATATGGTGAGTGGAGCGAGGAGGCCATCTGCTCCTTTACCGCCTCCCCATCCTGGAGCTCTTCCTACAGAGATCCTTCTAGTCCTTTGCTCCCACAGACCTGACTTCAAGAGGGCCACCTGGGGGCTGAGCAAAGTGGGATTGGGAAGAAGGGAAGTTTCCTGGTTCATCCTGCATCTGTTGTTCAGAAGCCCAACAATGCCTCCTCAAACACTGGGGCCTTGTTGCTGATGCTGCCAGGGTCAGTGAACAGTCTTAGCTTTTATCTGTCCTGTACTGGTCAGTGTCCTCAAAAGCCATCTCCCTTCCCACCATCCAGTCTATTACACCTTTGTATCTTTCTGCTTCTGCAGGGACAAGGGTGATCTAGATGATCCGGGATAGGCAGCCATAAGGGCTAGTTGCCTGGAACAGCCCGTTTGTTCCTGTGCAGTTATTAATATTCCTTTGAACTCTGACAATTGCCTCGGCAGGAAAGTTAAGCTAAAAGTGGTCTCTCTACAACAGGGTCCACTGGCCCAACTTGTGGTCAGTCCATCACTAACTTGCTAAATGCCCCACAGCAGACTACTTAACCTACTGAGACCTTGTTTGCTCTCCTGAACAGTGGAGACAAGACTCTCTTAGTGCCTCTGAGATCTGAGCGCCACCTCTAGCCAAGGTGGGCCCAGGTCCAGGGGATTAGGACTGACCTCTCACTGTGTGGGGAGTCATGCAGGGAGTCCACGGAGTCATGGTAGGGTGGCATGGTGGCCCTGCGCCCCTCCTCCAGGCTGTATGCTGCCACCCGCCGAGCGCGGGCCTCCACACACGCGGGGCTGTTGCACTTGCTGGTGCCCACTGATGACAGCATGATGCCCGACTGGGAGTCAGAGGTCAGGCTCTCAGATCGCTCCAGGCTCCATGTGTGGCTCTCGTGTCTGGGGAAGCCAGATGGGGCAAGGTGAGGGGTCAGGGTGGTCCAAGAGGTGTGTCCATGGCCACCCCCTCCCTGGCTCTTTATTCTACGCTGGGCTCCCTTGGCTCACTGGTGTTTCCACTGTAGGCTCATGGAGTATGATAAATATTGGGAGAAGGTGGGCTGGGGTCCTGTGGATGGTGAGCTGCAGTGTGTACAGTCATCTTCCTCTCCTTCCCAAAACCAACACCCTCAGCCTTGCCTCAGAGTCCCTGCTTGCCGTGGTCCTTAGTCCCCACCTTAGGAGCCCAGCCCCAGGGGTTTACATGTGGGGCCCTGACTATGCCCTGGTGCTCCCCAGGAAAGAGGGCCCAGCCATATTATTTCTTGAGCTGCCTGAGCTTTTATGCTTGTGTGAACAGGCCACCCTGGTTCTGATGAGAAGGCCCTGGTGGACTCTGATTTCTGTGGCAAACTCAGGAGGTATCAGATAGCTCTGGATGCTGGAATGAAAGGACAGGAATCTACACGTTTCTGTGGGCTGTGGCAGTGCCCACCTGTGGCTGGAGGTGGGCGTGGCTGTGGAGCAGTGGTGAGAAGGAGAGCAGGAGTGGCTCCCAGAGAAGGTGGTCTCAGTTTCCCTCCGGATGACGTGGTCTGTGGCTGGCACATTCTTGGAGATGTACTGAGACAGACAGACAATTGGGGTAGGAGTTAGTGAGGGGACCACATTGGCTGTCTTTCCCAGTGAGGATGGGAGAGTGACAAACACTGAGCTCTAGGTTGGGAGGTGATCCACTAGGTGAGAAGTGACCTGCTGTTGGAGCGATGATGGCCCTAGTAAATCAGCCCCCTTCACTGGAGACGAGGCCAGCCATCCTGGTGTGTCAGTGCCTAGCAGGCTAGCGATGGGCTGACTGCTTCCCTGGTCTTTCCTTGCAGGGGGCATGAGAAGGCAGGGTGTCCATCAAGGGCTCAGAGGGGTGCCTGGAATGTCACTCACGTCTGCCATCTGGATCTCCTCGGGGTCCAGTCGGGGGTGGCTGGGCCCGTTGGCCAAGCTCCGGTTCTGGTGGGCTGGGCACATGTTCTGCCGGAGGTGGTTATGCATCTGCTTCCGCTGTTTTCTGCACAGGGGAAGGGTGGATGAGCTTTCTTTTTTTTTTTTGTCTTTTTCATTTTTATCGGTACCAGGGATCGAACTCACGACTGCCTGCTTGCAAGGCAGGTGCTTATGCCGCTGAGCTAAACCCCCAGCCCCTAGATGAGCTTTCAATTTCTCCCACAGTGAAGCTTCCTGTGTCTCTCCAGTGAACCTGAGTGGCAAAGAACCCCACTACTTTCTAGCTGTGTGACCCTGGGAAAGTTACAGAAACACTACATGTTTCACTCTCCCCTCTGTAAAATCATTCCAAAGACTAGTGACCATTAAAGGTGTGTAAGCTGTTCGTGCACAGTGCTGACACCCTGCCTGTCTCATCTTTCATTCATTCATTCAGTATTTACTGAGGTTTTTACTGTGTGCCAGACCCTGCTTTGGAGCAGAGAAGAGAGACATGATCCCTGCCTCCCACAGCCTAAAAGCAGATGATAAACACATACATAAAGGAAGTAGATATTTTCAGTAAAGTTTTGTGAAGAAAATAAGATGGTGTTATGACTGGTGAGCCAGGGCATGTGGGATTACTTTATATTGGCATATTTTAAATGCCTGATAAATCTGTCTTATGACAAACAAATCTAATCATGTGATTCCTCTGTTTAAAACCTGCCTCTGGCCCCGGCCCATTTCCCCCTCCGCTCTCCTAAGCGAGACTCTCTTGCTGCACTCTCTACTCCCACCTGTCCCCGCCCGCCCGGGACAGCCTGCTTCTGACCCTCTGCTCTCTCAGGCCTCAGGCCGTGTGCATGCTGGTCCTTCACCTGCACTTCATCTCTGCGGCTTCATCTGAGAACTGCCAGCTCCCGGCCTCCAGCCTGAAGGCTGCTTCCACAGCAAACACCTCCTTCCCTCTAGCTGAGGTGAGGGACCTCCAAAACGTGTCCTGTGACACGGACTGATTGCTTAGGATGTTGGCTGGGTGCCTTTGAGGTGCCTGGGGCAGGGCCTGGTGTCCGGCAGGCACTAAGCATGTGCCCTGAATGAGTAAACGCAGCCGTGGTCAGAATACAGTAAATGCAGAGGGGCTTGCTTTTTCCATATTTTTTTTGTAGAGGAAGTATGAGGCTTGAACTCATGACCTTGCACTTGCTAGGCAGGCGCTTATGCTGCTGAGCTAAATTCCTGGCCTTTTCTTTATACATCTTGGACTCAATTTTTTCTCTGCATCCAGTCCTCCCTCTGAGTTCTCTGAGCCCAGACTCCCTCCTTACTTCCCACCAGCCTTTCTGATCCTAGACTTATCCAAAGGGAGGCCAGTAGACCTTAGATTGTACTTAGTCTGGACTTCGTCTTAGAGGTTCAGTCCCCAAAGTAATGGCTGTATCTAGACTCTTAGCCTTCAGATATGACCAAATGTGACAAATACGTTTTTCTGTACCATGTCACTCTGCAACCTTCCTTGGCTCCCTGCTGCCTGCAGACTCCCTAGCTCGGCCCCAAGGCCCTGGGTATCTGGGTCCCAGCTATCTTCTTAGCCTCTTGCCCTTCTTCTTTGACTTTGCCCCAACTAGTCTGGGCTGGTCCTACTGCAGACAGTGGCTTCACCCATCTGCTTGTCTTTCAGCTCAAGCTGTCCCACCTGACTTCCCCCAAGTCCCACTGCCCCCGCAGTCCTCAAGGGGTGGGCCGGCCCCACCTCCCTGTGCTCTTGCTTCAACTGTTCCCAAGGTGGGGCCAGGCAGGGCTTTGAGGCCCCTGCCTTTTCTGGAATGCAGCCTTTTGGTGCTTTTTCCTCTTTCTCCTCAGCGCCTCCCACCAGACAGCCTGTGCTCTAGGAGCCTGTGGGATCAACTGTGCCTTCCTCCCAAGCCCTCAGTGTCCTGTGAGGTGTATACCAGGCTTACTCCCGTTAGAGCTCAGAGAGTTTCCCTCATTTGCAAGGTCACATGGGACATGGCAGAGCTGGGTTGAACTCAGACCCACCTTCTTCCAAAGGCTGTGCCCATGACTCCCTTTGCGCCAGTCCTCTGGTACTGTCTCCCTCTTATCTGGCTCTGCTTCCCAGCCCTGCCCCTGAGACGCAGAGCTATGGAGGCCAAGGCTTGGCAGTGGGGTGTGGTGGGGGGTGTCCCTCATAAAACATCTTGGAGGCCATCCCCTGGATTGTTCTGTCCTTGGCCTGAGCCCCTGATACTTACTTTGTTTTGCAGTAGGCGACCACACAGACAATGCCCACCACAAGTAGGGCCACGCAGATGCCGGTGATGGTCAGGACCCTCTTCTGGTACAGCTCCTCAGCTTCTGCAGGGGCAGAGCAGACGTGAGGGGTGGAGCAGGAGGAAGAGCCCATGGGGTGTGGGTGCAGACATCCCTGCCCCAGTCTAGGCTGCCCTAGCCCAGGTCCCACCTGCTGTGACTGTCCTGTCCCTCCTGCCTGCTCCTGGACTTCCTTTTTCTTTCACCCAACCCGCCCCCCCCAACTCTTGGACCTGGCCACACCCTCCCAGACCCCAGGCCAGCCCTGAGCGAGTGAGTGAAAATGCAGGGAAAGGAAGGAGGTGGAGGGAAGTGAAGGTCCCAAGGCCACCACGCAGAGGAGGGCAGCCCAGCCTGGCCAGCCTCCTGCCCTACCCCACGGGGGCCTGGCAGCCAGCTACAAAGAGCCCAGTGGCTGCAGAGTTGTTCCTCATGGTGGTGAACAGAGATGTTGGGCAAAAGGCTGGCTCAGCCGCCTCTCTTTCCTAAGAGGAGTTGGTGTACACCAGCCCCAGAGGCTGGACTTAGGAGGGATGCCAGGGCCAGGAGCAGGTACAAGCAGATAGGGTTCAGGAAGGGTGTGGAAGAAAGACTGTCTGTCCCTCAGCCTGGCCAAGGTTTTGGCCTGGCCCACTGCATCCTCCTATCCCTGCTGGTCACAAGTCCATCAGCAGCAACCTGGTGCCTATAGCTGCCCTTGTGAGCAAAGAACAGCCCCTTCCCTTGCTGGGGAGACGAGTGAGACTGGACATGAAACCCTCAACTCTCCTCTCTACCTTCCATGCTTGGTGGGGTCAGTTCATCCGTCTACAACAAAGATAGCCAGGAGGAAAGAAAGGAGAAGGTGCTAGCATTGGCCATGGTCAAGATCCTAACGACAGCCCACTCGCTCCCACTTCAGGCTGGCCCCTCCACTTTGCCTTCTCCCGCTGACTCGGTGGGTCTCTCATGCCTTGGTGGAGCCAAGGCTTGTGGCATCTCCCATGCACAGGTACACAGACCAGCAACCCCAGGGCCCCCAGGGCCATGTACACTCTCTCCAGGCACAGGCACGTCACTAGCTACCTGCTGGAGTCAGGATGTGCCCTTCCCAGACATTTACACATGGACCACACACGCTCCAGCAACTGCACACACTCAGGAGGCTAAGCTCCTGTCAGGCGGCTTCAGTCAGACTTCCGCTGCACATCCCCATGTGGGCTCTGTGTCTGCAGTCCTGCGTGCTCTCAGTCCTCAGAGACCACTCTGGTCATGGTCAGTGACACCTCCACATTGTCAAGTCTCGTGGTCATCTGCCTCTGTCCTTCTGGTGCTCACAGCCCCCAGCCTTTGTGTAGTCATTCTCTCCTGGGCCTCCTCCTTGGAGCCTACCTTTCTGGCTTAGTGGCTGCTTCCTTCTCCACTGTTTGTGATGGAAGGTAGGAGGCCCCCGGGCTCTTTGGGCTCTTTCCTCCACCTTCCCTGTCTTTATGCCCTGTGCTTAATGATCTCATCCAGACAGACTTCAAATCCCAGCTGAAGGCATTCTCACTGCTTTTGTCTTCTGCCCTGGCTTCTCCCTGTCCGTGTCAGGGATCCAAGTGCTGCAATTCCTCACCTCTTTCCACACCTGCTCCCCTGCTCACCCCATCTCATTAGCATAGCACCTGTTGTTCTGTGGCTGATGCCCCAACATGAACTCATTGTTATCTGGTCCCCTTTTCCCCAGTGTCCCCTGATACCTGATCCATCTGCATATCCTATCAGCTCTATATTTTAAGCACACCTTAGATCTGACCATCATTTCTTCCATTTCTTCTTTTTTTTGACTAGGAACTGAATCCTGTACCTTTGCTCTAAGATATACCCCCAGTCCTATTTTATTTTTTGTTTTGTAACAGGGTCTTGCAGAGTTCTCGGGCTGGATCTCAGGCTCGCAGTGCTGGGATTACAGGTGTGTGCCACCATGCCTGGCTCATGATGATCACTTCTACTGCTTCCAGGTTAGTCCAGGATGATGCCCCCTTTTACCTGGAGATGGTCACTTTTTGATAGGACTTTCATTCCTCCTCACCCCACCTCGACCTCTGGCTGCCCCCCAAAGCTACATTTATTGACAACCATAAAGCAAATCATTTTAGTCTTCATAGAAACTCACAATGGCTTCTCCGAGTAATCTGATAAAACCGAGGCCTTTTCATGTTCTCCAAGGCCCATGATGACCTGGTCCCAGCCTTCCTTTTGGATCTCATCTATGGTCCTCTCTCCCATCTGTGGGACGCAGGGGCGCTGACAGTCTCTGTCCACTGAACAAGGCATACCTTCGCCAACCACTTGAGCCTCTGCTTGTGTGTCCCCTGCCTGTACCCCTGCCTCCAGTTGCTTTCAGGATTGACTACCAAAGCCGTTTTGACCACAGAAGTTCTCCCTTGCAGCCATGCTCTCCTCTGAGCTCATGGCCTCAGTTTATTTTCTGTATAGCACTTACTGCCACAGATGCTTTTCCTATCTGTTCCTGTCTCAGGAACAAAGGAGTACAGGGACGCCATGTGACTAGTAGGTTCTGGTGTAGAGTGGATGTCTATTGCATAGGGGATTAAGTACACACACACACACACACACACACTCCTTTGCAGATACAGACACACATCTACGTATACCACGCTCACTGTGCTCCCTGGCAGCCCAGCTATAAGTACTCAACACTTAGCGCAATGACATCCTGCTCCTCACAAGTGCCCGATTCTCTAGCATCCTGCTCTGCAACCCAGGTGCAAGGTGGACACATTCTCCACGTGCCAACACACACATGCTCGTACTTGCAGATTCAACCCTGTTTCCTGCCATGGTATGGAGCCCACACAGCCTCCACCCTATCCTCTCCATGCCACTGCAGCCTGCACACAGATACTAACATGCAGACTTTGAGCCCTGCCTTCCACTGAGAACAGCTGGGCCTCCCCAAATCTGCTGTGAGAACGGCCTGGGTATTTCTGCCTCAAATCTGAGGCCCTGCCCCACAGAAGCCCCACCCCTGAGCTCTGCATGTCTCCTGCTGTGACACCTCCAGACATGAGACCAGGGCAGAACCTCCCTGGAAACAGGTACAGAGCCAGAGATCTGGAAACACTAATCCTCAAAGAGTCCCAGGGAGTCCTTCAGGGGCCAGAAGGTATTTGGGGGATTCTGTGTTAGGAGGCAAGGGGCAGGTACCAGAGGCCAGCCCAAGCCAGACTTTTGCTGGTCTTGCTCAAAGATGCACACACATATCATCATGGGAACAGACCATAAAGGGGCTGACAGTCTCAGGCAGATGGCAAAGCCCAGCAGACAGACATGGGGCGGGGACAGAGGCAGAGGCAAAGGGAAGTTATTAGCTACTAGCTTGCTGCAGATGGAAAGTGATGGAAATGGAACTGGGAAAAGGACACAGCAATAAGGTAGGAGGGAAAGCAATGCCTTTCCGCACAACTCCCCAAACCGGGCTTCTGTGGTTCCCCGATACTGGCCCTCCAAGGGGGTGTGTTCAGACAGGTCCCTCTCTCCCCTCTGAAGCCATCGAGTGCAAAGCCCAAGGACCACCCCCACTCACCTCTTGGCACAGGGTCTTCCCTGTTTGGGAGGCTACTACTGTGTATTGGTGGGGTACCCTGCTGTTAATGAGCTCTAGTCTGCCCCCAAATCAACATAGTTTGTGCTAGGACATCTTGACTGGGAGAGGGGAGATTTTTAGAATCATCCCCTTTTCAGTGTGGAGAATCAGCACCCAGGGGTCAGTCAGAAGCCGTGCGGAGAGGTGCTGGGCAGAAGGCGCGGAGTGATACATAGAGGTTCATACCCTTTAATTCAAATCCAAGGTGCTCTGGCAGTGCAGAAGAGAGGAGGGTGAGAGGGGATGAGGTGGAGGGAGAGAGACGAGAAATGGGAAAAGGGGAGGGCAAGGGAGAGAAGGAGAGAGAGAGAAACGTTGGTCAGGACTCTTCAGACACCAGCAGCCAGCCTGTGAGGTGAAAGCAGGTTAGTAGTGTCCCCTCCCAGCCTCCTGAGCTCCTTCCCTGGTACCCAGTCCCCAAGAGCCTCAAGAGGGATAGAGAGAGGCAATGTTAGAATTGGCAGGCAGGGCGTGTTCTTCAGAGATGAGCAGTGGATTAGTACTTGGGGGTTGAGGAGGGGGGCACAGGCACAAGGATCAGCTAGCCAATGTTCCCTGGAGGAAAGGGCTACCGGGTGTGGGGCGAGGCGGGCCCTGTCCACTCCTTCTAGCTCCAGCACCAGCCTGTTAGCACTCTCAGCTTCCCAGAGACAGCCTACCCGGCTCACTTGTAGGGCCCTTTCTTCTGTTCAGCAAGAGCAGACTTCCCCAGACTGGCTAGGTGTCCGTGCTCTTTGCCCATCTCCTAGAATCCTGGGAGCCTGGGGCAGCAGGAGCCTGGAGAGGACGAGACTCCAGGCCGCGTGTTACCACTCCCTCTTCCAGCCCTACAGGGGCTGGCCTAAGGCCCCCATGCTTGAGCTCACTACTTAGAAGATCGTAACACAACTTGAAGAATGAGAAGAGTGTAGATTCACCGGAGAACTCCTGACATAGCCAACACATTCATTTCTGAATGTGAAATGTGGGAATTCAGGGCTCTGCTGGGTAGATACCCATGCCACTGAGAGGTTAAAGGCCCCTGGCCCAGGGGCCAGCTTTTCCACTGAAGTGCTGTGTGGTCATCAGTGACAGTCAACCTGTCTAGGTTTCTGTGTCTTACTTAGTTGTTAAGCGATGATCAGCCCTGGTCATGAGATTCTGGGAAGTTTGCAAACCTGGCAATCATCCAGGGAAATGGCATCAGGCTTGGAGCCCAGTGATCTCCATGGTGTTATTAAAAGTTCACTCCTCCTTCCACTCTAAGGTGCTGCTGGCACTGGCCTACAGGTCTGAGTCTCAGTTTCATTTCTACTTTACTCAGTGGATGTGGGTAAGCAATAGTTTCTGTTTCCTCTTCTGTTGAAAGTATCCATACACTCATTGTCAGAGCAGATGTGAGCAGGCCTGGTGGCAGGAGGCTCAGAACGTCATACAAGGGTGCCACTGCCAGCCTGGATCTGCTCCCTTTCTGCCTCCACAGACGCATACTCAGTTTGGTGACAGCCGGGATGGATATGACATCGTGTGTGATGTTCTCATTTGTCACCAAGGAAGGGGAGCCCAGGCAACCAGCGGGAAGTCCTGAGCATTATCTACCCCTGGGCCTCTACCTCTGCTTGCTAAAAGGGATCCTAGAGAGTTCTACATTTGGCAAAGGGCAGAAGAGCCGAATGGCTCTGAGTCAGGGACTAAGGTGCTTCTGATTCTGAGAGCCTTGAGGTAGATCCCTCGCCCCTCAGTTCTGTGCAGAGATCGCTCCAAGGAAGCACTGATATTGATCCTGGTCCTCTGAACTGGAGCTTTGTCTTCTCCTTTGCCTTCTTTGCAGTTTTGCGTGGCAGTCTGAGACAGTCACCCCAAGTAGTCTGTTCACTCTTCTAGGGGTGGCTAGCCAGGCCCAGGAGATCGACAAACTTGACAAACTCAAAAGATCTCAGGGCAGGGCATACAGTAGTTAATCCTGGAGCCCAGGGGACTCTCCAGGAAGCTCAAGGGCACTCACATTGTTTGAATGGTCAGCCACACCCCGCTGAGCGAGAACAGCTTAGCATGACCACGGCACCCAGGGTATTAAGAGCTGGCCTGAACCAGCTTGGCCAAAGATGTTATATCGTATGAGACAGCTGGGGCACAGTGGTGCCAGGGTGCTTTTTCAGGGTCACACAGAGAACCAGGAGGCAGAAAGAGAGACTGGAGGTCAGGTCTGTAGTCTCTTAGGGGCTAAGCTGTGGCTATTTAGTTCTGGGGCAGGCCCAATGGGCTGTTCCTGGGAACAATGACCACTTGACAAGAAAGCAAAGGCTCCCAAAAACCCTTTGAGAGTTTTCTTCTGTCTCTCATCTAGGAACCAATCATAGTAGTAGCAGCTTCCAGGGCTCCTGATGGAATGCTCTTTGAATCAAAGACTAGTATTGTTTAGGGGAACCAGTGGTGGCTCCCATAGTTAGTAAGGTCACTGAAGGCTTGCTCAGTCACCAGATAGGCAGTTTTTCCCTGGAAGCATAGGAATGGATTCTGAGAGCCTTAGGGCTGTGTCTGTCCCAGTAAAGAAAGCAGTCCCCTACTCAAGTCAGTAGTCTCCTACTGTCTGTCACTCAGCCACTAAGTCATAGAAAGGTTCTATCAGACAGAGGTTTACATCAAACCAGTAACAATGGCAACCTGAGGCTAGACTCCAAGCAGGACCAGGGTTCTCAGGTAGTATGCACATTCCTCATCCTGAACATTTCCCATGACACATAGGCATAAGGAGCCTACACAGGAAGGCAGCAATACGTGTGCAGATGTGAGCATGCTCCTGTGTTTGCAGGTGTGTGCGCTTATATTTGTGCATGTGTACAAGTCTTAGTCCACACTCATGTGATGCGTGTGTGTGAGGGTGTGGGGACACTGGCTCCTGTGTTTACATCTGTGCATGCAGTGTGAGGCATGCTGGTGTGTGTGTGCATGTGCGTGCAGGCATGCATATGCATTCACATGGGGGTATCCACAGAGAGTGGGCTTGCCAGTGGAAAGAAGAGCTTCAGAGTCTATTGGGATCACAGGCTCCATTTCCTTGGTCTTTGCAAAAAGCTTAGTGTTGAGGTGGTTTGGGTGGGCTGCTAAGGTCACAGACTTTGCTGGGGATGCTAAGAGGCAGCCTCCAGGGCCTAATGCTCCCCCAGCTCTCCCCAGTGCCAGCTATAGCTGGGACAGGTATTACATTGCACTCGAGAGCACCATGGCAGGTGCTCTGCTGAGAGTTTTACATGCATCACTTCATTTCATCCTCCTAGCAATCCTACAGGCATAAAACCCCCATTTTACAGATGAGAAAACAAATCCAGAAGGATTAAAGAAAGCCCCAGAACTAGTAAACCGGGCAAGTTACAATCTTTTCCTCAGAACTGGCCACTGGCCACTTCAGGGAGCATGGTACACTGCCTCTGCAGTCATTATCTGCTATGGCAGCATGTGAGGGGCTCTCTGGGAAAGTGCTTTAAGAGCACGAGTCCTTTGTAGAACGGTAACTGTAACTGTACAGGTGACATACATGGGAAGGCCAGGGGCTGGGCTGAGGGCTGCATCGGTAGACTCTTTTATAGGCTCCTGGGTTGACCCTCCCAGCAGAGCCAAGCTGAGAGCTGAAATAGCCCAGCTGGCAGAGAGGCTTTGGACAGTGGCCCGAGTGCTTAAGGTTCTGCTGCTGTGATTCAGAACTGCCTGTCCAGAACAGCCCCACTAGCAGAGAGGCTTTCCGCCAAAGGGTGGAAAGGGACACAGCCCCGACCGCCTTTCTCACCTGGCCCACATTCACCTGGCTGTTCTGCCCCCTCCTGAGGTCCGTGTTGCCCTGTAGTTCTCCATGTGGCCTGGATCTGAAATTCCTCCAGAGCCGGGGCTCTAGAAAATTCTTTTTCTTTTCTTTTCTTTGTTTCTTTCTTTCTTTTTTTGGTGAGATTGAACTCAGGGTCTTGTACATGATAGGCAAGCACTCAGTACCACTGAGCTACATTCCCAGAGAATTCTGTTGGGCCAGAACTCCCTTTCCACAGGACCTTATCCCTCCAACCCCACCCATGAAGGTTTCTATGACTGGTTCAGGTTTAAGAGTACCCCTCTGGGGTTTTGTGTGGTGGTCTGAGGAGACCAGGAAGGTTCATCTCTACATCCTGTGACCCAAACCACCCGAGCTATCAAAAAGACCCTGAATCCCACTTTGGCATTTCCCAGAGTTCTATTCCCAATATCCTGATCACTTGGGTAGTCTGGTTCCTAATTCCTCATGGGGCCCAGCTGTCCACCCTCAGACAGGGGGCATGGGTGGGCAGGAACCTAGTCTGTTCTGCAGGATGGGATGGATGACATGTTTTGGGCTTGGCAGGCCAAGAGACCAGAGCTCCAAACCAAGTCCGCAACCAGACAGTGGCCTTTTGCTCGGCTTCACCTCCACCTGCTAGTGCTTGAAGAAACTGCTCTCGGACCCTAAAGTAAGCACCTCACAATTCACAAAACTGTAAACCAGAGATCTCTGATTTTAGAAGTGGGAAAAGGAAATCCAAGATGGGGATTCAAACCAGAGAGGTCCTGGGAAGAGTCACCAATTGCCTGTTGGTTTTTTATTCCCTCTATCTTTCTGCATCAGCAGCAAGTCCCAGCCTACCCCATCCTGTAGCCACACAAATGTGTCTGGTACTCATGGAAATCATTGTGCGGGGTCCTGTTCTCCCTCAAACTCTCCCCCTCCCCTCTGTAGCCCTGTACCCTAAACCAAACACACTCTGGCTGGACCAGAAGACAGGTTTTTGAGACCTGTTTCTCTCTCTCAAGCATATCAGCACACACATACACACCCTCCCAACCTGGCCTCATTAGAAACCTGACATTTTCAAACAGCCTCCTGAGGCAGCAAAGGGCTCTGTAAATGCCTCTGCTCATTCTGGCCGGGCTGTCTGGCCCTAGAGGTGGGGAAGAGGCCTGGATATGGCCCCACAGAGAGAGGGAGAGAGAACTCAGCACTGCTGTATCCAGGCAGGACAGCCAACATGTTGGGTGGTACAGAGGGCAGAGAGATGTATTGGTCTCCTCTGCATGGGCTTCTGGTGAGCAATTAGGATTGAAAGGAGCCTGGGACACCCCCGTTTACCACCCAGTCTTAACAAGAAAGGCCCCATCCCTCCCACGGGGGAAGACTGCCAGTCACCAGGGAAGAGAAGAAATAGAAGAAAGAGACATACTGGAGAAGTTGACCATTGCGAACTGCTGACACCTGTCCCCGGTGTATCCCACAGGACACCTACCAAAAGAAAGAAAACCAGAAAGAGAGAGCCAGGATAGCAAGACGCAGGCATCGCGACACCGTGGCACAGGCTCCTGCCAATGCCAGCCGGGTTTCTTGCCACCGTTACCATTTGTACTGATCTTGCCATTCTGCCCCTTACCTGCGGCCCTAAACTTTAAACCCAAGGATTAGGCCAAAAATGAAAAACAAAGCAAAACAAAACAAAACAAAAAGAACTAACGAACCAAAATACAAAAAAGAAAAGAGAAACAAAACAAAACAGCCAAAGATCAAAACAACCAACACCCCTGGCCCTATGCCCTACATTGGGGGGACTGCACCCGGAAGCTTTCTAAGGAGCAGGGACTTGTGTTTGTATCTTCAAACATACTTTGCTTAGGATCTGGCATGTACAATCGCAAAGGCAGTTTCTCCAAACATCTCTGTCCGAAGAATCCGTTTGGACATCTGGAGAAGGAAAAGGGGAAAAATCACAGAACAAACTGGCATCATCCGCGAGGCTAAGGTTAGAAATCAAAGTGCACAGTGATGAATGAGAAAAACCAAGTCAGGCACTTGGGGTCACACTTGTAGCTGGAGGGGCTGGAGTAGGGGCTGGGTGGAGGGCTCTGCAATCTCACAAATCTCTCTAATAGATGTGGCTCCGTGGGTGTGGGGAAGGTGGGGTGGGGCGGGGAGGAGGATGATTTAGGGAAGTAGGGTGGGCTGGGAGGTTACTGACGAATTGTACTACTGGCCATGGAGCTTTCCTTCTTACCTGCCTGGAGCCCCAGAAGCCAGAACTGTAGCTCCTTGGTGCCAGGCAGACAGCCATAAAGGGATACCAAGTTCTTGGGAGCCACTCCTTCTAGACCTTTGGAAGGATTTTTTTCCTGTGCTCTGGGCAGCTTTTCTTTTTCATGAAACATCACCCAGAAAGCTCAAAGCAGAACTGTGGAAGGCTGTTCCCAGACTGTGTGTCCATGACAAAAGTGACCTAGGAGATGTTTGATCTGTTTTCTAAAAGAGTTCCTGTGGCCAAGTAAGTTTAGGGAATTCCTTCCCAGGGCTTTTTATAAGAGGTGCAGCCTACATTAGCATAGGAAGGGTTATGAAAAGTCTTATAGGAAGAAATAACTGGAATTTCTAGTATGTTTCAAATCCGTTTGCACATGGAGGGCATTTTTTAGAGGAATTCTGTAGAACACAGTTGGAAGAAGGCTGCTGTAGAGTAATAGACATAGGGAAAGCTTAGTGAGGAAGGGAAAACTGGAGAGGAGCTGACCGTCATGAACTGCTGACACTGGCCCAAAGCCGGCTTTCTGACTGGGGTGCAGGGGGAGTTTGGAGCAGGCTCCCTGAGCGACCCAGGAAGCCTGCTCCACATTGGAAGGCTGCTGGTAGCCACTCTCCTGCCCTTTCCTCCTGAGCTGCTCTGCTTCGAGGGCCTGGCTCTGTCCTGAACCTTTCTTGCATCTTGGCTGGCCTGTAGTTCCAAGACACCACCCACTCCCATCTCCCTGACCTTGTCCTTATTCCCAAAGTACACCTCCTTCTGCTCTCTGGCTGCCACTTCTTCCTTTAAGGAAGTCTCTGTCTTGCAGATTTCTGGGAGACATGCCCAGCCCTGTTACTCTTCTGAATCTCAGCAAGGCCAGCTAGCTAAGGAGAAGCCTATGGATAGGGCTGGCCTGACCCCTTCCCAACATCTCTCTACTCAGTGGTGGGTCTGTGGTGCCTTGGCCCGTTCTCTAGGAAGCTAGGGAAGCCCATCATTAGTGTTCCTTCAATAATAGGCCACCCTTCAATACTGATCAACCTAACCTTTCCCCCTTTAGCCTTCTCATGTATACAAGCAGCAGAAAGGCCCTTGGACTTCCCAGTACGAGGTGACCACTGGCTGTGATACTCATAAAATCCTGTGGCCTCAAATCTAGGAAGTGGAGAATGAAGGTGATTGGTGGGTAAAGAACTTCAGACCTCAGTGGCTTCCCGGAGGGCAGGAAGGAGGAGGGTCACTGCGGGTTGAGAGTGTGCATGCAGTATGCCTGGCTAGAGGGGATGAGGGCTGAGTAGTATCTGGAAAAGGTGCTGGTGACAGGTTGGAGGAGGGGGTCCCTTATCAGTATGGCCTGATCCCTGGCCTTGTCCTGAATCATTTTAGCCCAGGAAGATGGAGGGAGTGGCTAAGGTTTTCCAGCCACCTCTCGTCAGGCTTACCTCCTCTTCCTCTGCTTGGACACTGATGTGGGGAATGGGGACAGAGGGGGAGAAGTGATTTTTTTTTAAACAGAAGCACCTTTGGAGGTGGAGGATAAAGACCCAGGAAGTTACCAAGATGATTTTGGGAATTCACAAAGGAGTAAGAAAGAGATAGGTTTGACTGTGTCCAGTGTTTGGGATTAATCTGGCTCTTGGGTGATTCAAGATGGGAAACTAGCATATGTACATGTGTGTGTGTGTGTGTGTGTGTGTGTGTGTGTGTAAAACAGAGAATAGGAGAGTTCAGGGGCAGGAGGTGACAAAGGGACAATTAATTTCCACTGCTGACAAGCAGGACTGCTGTCTCATGATTCCTGGAGACCGATGACAACTAAATACATTCCCTCTGTCCCTGATTTCTTTTTCTTTTTTTTTTTTTTTTGTCTTTTTCCTTTTTATCGGTACCAGGGATTGAACTCATGACTGCCTGCTTGCAAGGCAGGCGCTTATGCCACTGAGCTAAATCCCCAGCCCCCCCCTCTGTCCCTGATTTCACACCCAGTGTGGCCTATTCTGACTCGTTCATCCTCATATTTTTTATGGCCAATGAGTTGCACAACTCCAGTGGCACCACTGACACCACCTATAATGCAAATGTGCTTCCGGAGTTGTGCATCTTTCTGGAACTAGCCTTCCTGGCATGAGACAGTGTTCGTCTCCTGTGGAACAAAGAAAGGTCCTGGGGGATGGGTGGCGTGAAGGATGGGAGGACTGGGAGCCCACGCCATGCTCTGAGAGTACCAGCGCCTTCAAGAGGCTCCAGATGCTCCCATTTTTCTCTTTAGTCCTACTTGTTTAGGCTGGGGTTTCTTTAGGGTACACACTAAAATTGGACCCGGCTCTGTGGTCTCTCTAACCTGCCCCCAAAATCAAGGTAACAGAGTCCAGAGTCTGAACTCAGCATAGGTGGGTGTGGTTCCCACTCAAACTCTGAATTTCAGGGGCAAGAGGACGGGGCAGTGAGTAGCAGCCTTCCCAGCTCTTCCTGCTAAATCATCAGCTATGACTCTGGGAAGGTCTGTACCCAGGGCTGGAGAAGAGCAGGTGGAAGAGAGGGGGCAGTGAGGAGGGCCCACGGGCTGCATCTGGGGTGACAGAGAGGTCAGGACCTCTGCATTCCCCCTTCCCCACCCTGCCTCCCGGGCCTCAGTTTCTCCTTTTGGTAGCCTGGGGATAATGCCATGTGTGCTGCCCTCACCCAGGGGGGAGGAGAGGATGAAGGATGAGGGTGTGCTCCAGGCACTGGGAGGAGCCGGGGGGGGGGTTCGGAGTTCATGGAGGGCAGGAGGAGATGTGTGAGGATGAGCAGGCAGATGGGCGTGGGCTGGGGGAGCAGAGGGATGGGGCATGAGCTGATGGGAGAGGGAGGCATGCCACTGGTATGTGCACAGGGCTGGAAAGAGAGTCTTGTTCTGTCATCATCCCCTGAACCAGTCCCCAAGAGTCACGCACCAACCGTGCTCAACAAACACACGGAGAGAAGAGGAGAAAGCAGCGAGAGGAAGTGTGGGGGCCCTGTCTGGCCCAGACAGGAGACAGCCATCTTGATTTGGACCCCCATTTTCAAATCCCCTGAGGTTTTCTTTCTTTCTTTTTTTTTTAAACAACAACAACAACAACAAAATTCAGTATCAGTGACACTGTTCCTTTTGGCACTGAATTCTAGAAAAACGGGAGGGTTACGGAGTGTGCCTGCTTTCCAACACTCCCTGCAGGGCTCTGAACCAATACACAACAACAAGGGTAAGAAACCAGGAAGGAAAACTGAGTTTTATAGAAACTGGAATGAAACTGACCAATGTAGTTTCATTATCCAAGCTAAGCGGAAATGCAAAAAAATCAAAATAAAAAGTAAACAAACAGCACAAATGGTAAGACGTGAGTTCCATTTCCTAATTTCTTTCCTTTTTATTCCATCAGGTGTCATCAGGAGCCCCGAGAGGCCTTCCCCCCTCCCTCCCAGCTCACCCACCACCAGAATGGCCTCTGGGCTCTGCCCGGCCCCCTCCCCCCTGCCCTTCTCCAGCACAGCTCTGAGGACCAGTCTCCACCGGGATGTGTCTCTCCCTTGTAGGCAGACAAAGGGAGTCTGGGAAGTCAGTTCCAGGAGCCCTGGACTGGGGCTGACCCAGGGGCACTGAGTAGCTCTGGGTAGAAAGTCTAAGTTCTGAGCAGTGAAGCCAGTTGGCCTGGCGGGAAGGGGAAACAGGGCACCCACCATCTTCACAAGGAAGGGCTTAGGTTCCTTGGGCTCTGTCGCTCTTAGATTCATCTAGGCTTCTAGGGGTACAACCTCGGAGAGCCCACACATCTCACCCATTCTTCTCCTACACGGAGCTCTAGCCCCAGGGCCCTCCTTGGCCCTGGCATCTGTCCTGGGGCACTGAGCCTTTTCTCCCTGGAGCCAGGGCTGACTTCAGGGACAATGTTGGATGCCTTCAAGGGTCAGGGATTCAAGGGGCTGGGAAAGAGGACAGGCCTAATGTGGGAGACAAAGAAAGGAGATGCAGGGGTGCTCCATCTCTGTGAGGGATTCCAGCACTCCTAGGAGTCTGCAGCAGATCTGTTCCAAAGAGCTCAGAGGATTTTCAAGGCTAGAATGTTCCCCACAGTCTAACAAAAAAGTGACCCCCCCGCCCCCTCAGAGGCTGAAGAAGGGAAAGAGAAGGGCTGAGGTCGGGCTGAGCGCTTCCCTGGAGAACCTGTTGTTGTTCTGGGGCCAGCCCCTACTGATTGGAATGGGGGAAGAAGGGAGGGATGGCGGCAGGTGAAGGGTGGGACCAGGGAGGAAGCAGCCAGGGAGGCCAGCTGGGGCCAGAGCCACAGTCCTGCCTGGCAGTGCAGCTAAACTGCCCTGTACTGAGGGTGAGTGAGGAAGCACAACCTCTTGTGACTATGTCTTTTGGTTGTGGGGTCTTTAAATGTCCTGGCCTCACTGCCAGGCCCACATTCCTAGGAGGGCTGAAGCCAAGAAGGGGGGTGCAGATCTGTCCTGGGAGGCCAGAGGCAGGAGAGCCAGAAGGGCTGAGTCGGACCTTGTCTGTGGGGAGCTCAAATGCCTCTCTATCTGCATCTCCACCAGCACTTCGGTTGCCTTTGCCCAGATGCCGGGGGAATGGGGCAGCTTTGGCACCTTGCCAGGGCCATAGGCTCAAGCTGCTTCCAAAACCAAGTTATTTACTTGACGCCCTTGTCCCTCCTCCCCCTCATGTAAACTCTGTCCAGGAGCTCTTGGGGCCAGCTGCCCAGAACATCCTTCGGGCTGGGACAAGCCCTCCTGACTACCATTCCCCTATCTACTACCAGGATCGGTCAGTTCTGAGCTCCTGGGCCACTCTGACCTCCTCCGTAGGGCCACACCCAGAGAAGGGTGCCTTGCTGGCACCCCTCACTCCTGGAAAAGGGGCTGGAGACTAAGGAGCACAGACAGCACCCAGGGCACACTTGGATACTGGGTCCTGTGGGCCAGGGACAGTGGCCAGATCTGAGGTCAACATGGGATTCTGGAATACCCCACTTCTTCCCTCAGGACTTCAGGAGTGGGACTCTGAGGCGCCAAGGGCTCTGGAGCTTGTGACCTGCCTGATCTGTCAGGCTCCTCAGTGCTGGGGGAGATGCAGCCTAGGACATGTCCACTCAGAACGTATTTGGAGAGTTGCTGATAGATGGGAAGGAAAGGGAGAAATAGAGATAGAGATAGAAACAGAAAAAGAGAGACAGAGAGAGAGAGAGAGAGAGAGAGAGAGAGAGAGAGAGAGAGAGAGAGAGAGAAGCTCAGTGTCTTAGACTGGCATCCCTATGTTTCTCTGGGGTGTTGATGAGAGGTGAACAACAGGAGATGGAGGCAGGTGGTAGCCTAGAAAACTGGGACAGCAAGAGCCCCTGTGCCCCTTAGAGCTTGCATGTCCCTATATGCTAGAAAGGGTTAGGAAGAGGGGTCAACTTCTTTGTCTACAAACCCTGGGGACCCTTTGCCAGTGACTTGAAGCCCGCTTTTCCTGGAGCCCTCCATTCTGCCTCAGCACCTCCTGCCCTGCCCTCGTCCCCATGCCCACCCCCTGGTCACTTACTTGCAGGAAAGCTGGTTGATGCCTTCGATGTAGTAGCAGACACCTCCATTGACACAATAGGACTTGGCTGTCTCGTTGCACTTGCGGGCATGCCCCGACCAGGATGACAGGGTGGTGCTCACTGAGGGTATGAGAGACATGTGCCAGTGACCCACTGAGACCACCTCTGGGTCCCTCTGTCACGTCTCATCTCAAAACCAGAAGATCCCCAGAGATGGCAGTGATGGATGAGGAGAGATGGTCTAGGGATCCCTCTTGGTCACCAACAGGGCAAACGGGAGGCCATCACAAGCTCTGTCTGCTCAGTGTGCCCCAGCACCTACATTGTGGGTAATCTTTCTAAGGCCAGGAAAGCCTTTGTTGTTTTGGAGTGAATGAGAAGGTAGCAAAAAACTGTTTCCTCTTTTGGAATAAAGGCTCACCCCTTCCCCTTCCTTCCTGTCTTCCCCAGGCCTCCACGGTAGCTGGATGAGGCGCTGCTGTCTAGTGGAGGGGACACTGCAGGGTGGTGTCACCTGCCTCTTGCACTGTGGACCAGGGCATGGCTGGAAGGGAGTGGGGACCAGCACTTGAGCTCACTGGCGTTTTGGTCTGGAGAGATGTTGCAAACTCTATCGGCTACTCTCTTCCATCCTTCTTTAGGGCTGGCTGGAATGCTACAAGGCCATCTATGCTTTGTCTCCAGAAGCATCCAGGGTCTCCTCCCTATTGTCCAACACCAGGCAGCTCCCTCCTCCCTCACCTCATCAGCTGTTGCCTTTGGAGGGAGCCTCCAGGCCTTGGACAGCCCAGGAGATAAATCATGGGCTTCAGGTTGCTGGGAAGAGACAGATTCTGTGTGTGTGACTGTGTGCGTGTGTGGGGGTGTGGGGGGGCAGCTGGGGGTGAAACTAGGTGACAGCTAGGCTGGGCTCTAAGGCTGCTAACCCTGACTGCACAGCTGATTGACCAGATTCCTCCGAAACATGAAAATAATAAAAGCTCTGCTTTTCCATCCTGAAACCTGGTTTCAAGTGAAAATTCTTGCACCAAATGTCAGTTTTCATCTGTAAGATGATGCCCTCTGCTGTGTGTCCAGATTGGGTTGCTGCTTGCTCCTCAGCTCGCTAGAGCTCTGAGGGCCTCTGGCTGGCAACCAGCAGTGGCCTTCTGACGGAAGCAGCTCATCCTACCTCGATGGCCCTATCTCCTCAGCGGTCTGAGTGTCACAGGGAGGAGCTGAGCGCAGGAGGAGCGGGGCAGGCATTTGGCGCCCTCAGTGTTTAGACATGTAGGGAGACAGATGGTGTGGGGGACTGGGAGTGTATACACAGCTCTGCCTCTGTATATGTCTGAGGAGCTCGCTGATAAAATCCAGCGGGCAGGGCCTGCTCCCACCTTCCCTGCACATCATGCCTGCTGCTGAGCTGGCATCCTGGAGCCAGAGGTCTCATCCAAGGCTCAACCGCAAGCCCAGCTGGGACCCACATGCTGGCTGGGAGAGGAAGCTATGTGCGATGTCTGCCCCACTTCTGGGTCAGTGAGACCCAGCAAGCTAAGAAAGGGACAGAGAAGAGAAACAGCTGAGGTGACCGTGCCTACAAGCTATAAAGTCCCACTGCTGCTGGGTGGGTCCTAGAGGTTGTCTTGCCCTTCCGTGATACTGTAGAGGAAGTCTGAGGAAACAGAATGGCCAAGTGCCTGTCTGGAGTCGCATGTGTGTGTTGTGACGAGGTTTCAGGGCTCCTGATATCTAGCTGTGCATTCTTCTCAGCAACCCAGTCCCCTGTCGAAGAACACGTTAGCACCAAGCCCTGCCATGAGCACATGAATGGATACCATGTGGACCTCAGCCTGGGGGCTCTGTGGGCTTGGGTGAGCCACAGGAATTGGGCCCAGACTTGCCAGGCCTATGGTAGCTCCCTCTGCAGCCATGGGTGGCAGAGACTGCCCACTGTCGAGGCCTCACTGTTATTCCACCTAGGCCGAGTAAGCAGTGGACAGGAATGAGACGCTGGACACCTGGGCTTGTTCCGCATGTGAGGTCTAGGGAGGCAGAGGACAGCGGAGGGAGATGGAGCCCCCTACGGACACACAGAGCCAGGGTGCCAAGACCACATCGTGGGGGTGGGCTGGGGCTGCAGAAATGCAGAAGGGGAGTCCGGTGGGGGGTGCAGTCCTGCAAAGTGGTGAAACAGTAACCTCAGGCCTCCCCACCTCAGGAAGGCCACTCTTCTGTCACGGCAGAGCCTTCCAAGTCACCGCAGCCCAGCGCTGCTGGTGGTGAAGCCACGCTCCAGGGAGACTTGCTCACTGAAGAGCTGCCCACATTCTGTGGCCCTCCCACACCTGCCTAGCACACGTGGTTCTGTGCCACGTGCCTGCACTCCCTTGTTGGCATACCTGCGCTCCTCACTGGGTGCCTATGTCTGCAGATGTCAAGGTGACAGGAATTCTGTGTGGGGGTCTCACTACTCTTTAGAAACTTCTACCTACGCAAACTCAGCATGTCCCAAACTAGGTTCCTGAGCTGCCTCAGCCATCTCCTCCTCTAGTCTTCCCCACATCAGGGACCAAATGGTAATGGCCGTGTCTTTTATTTTTCCTTTATTCCCTCAAGCCTTCTGTTCTCCATGGTTGCCGGTCTACTTCACTCCCGTTTCCCTGCTCCCTCCCCTAGTCCAGGCCACCACATCTCCTCCTGTGCTAGTCTTCCTGTCCTCACTTCCTGCTTGCCTTCATCTTGACCTTCTTGCTTGGCAGCTTCCACGATGCTCTTGAAACCATGTGAATCAGCTCCCTCCTTTCCCTGATCCAGGCTCTCCAATGACTTCTCTTTGTCCCTCCGTAAAGTCCCCGACTCCCCCTCAGGTGGAATCTGAGCCTCTCCATCTTTCTTGTGTCATCTCCTGTCCGTTGCTTTTAAAATGTTCCCGCCACACTGGCCTCAGCCCAGGCCCTCTCATCAGCCAGGTGCCCTCTTGTCCAGGATGTCCCAAATATCAGTGTCCCACAGCAGTCTCTCCCAGCCTCTCAACCATGCTTCTTCCTATTCCTTAGTTAGCTACCTGTATGTCTGCTTATAGTATTTATTCTAACCTAATTGCACGAGCCATTTTTAGCACCTCCACTAGAACATAAGATCCCTTAGGGCAGGACCACATCTGTCATGTTTCACTGAAGCCCCGGACCCAGCATATAGATAATAGGTACTTAGCTAGTGTTTATGAATGTATAAATAAGCAAACAAATATTATTTTTCAGAGAAAAATGCCTTGTGTTGCCTCCCCTGCTAATATGGTGTCCTTGGCTGATGATATCTTCTCTGTAGACTGCCTCCTATTAAATGAAAATATTTCTGGAGGGTCATTAGGGAGATGAATCAAAATCACAATGAGGATGTGATTCATATCCAGTAGGATGGCTACAATAAAAAATGGATAATAATGAATAGTGGTAAGGCTATGGAGAACTTGGAAGCCTTGAAGCATTGCTGGTAGAAATATAAAATGGTGTAGTTGCTTTGGAAAATAGTGTGGTGGTTTCTAGAAAAAAATTAAACCTAGAATTACCATGTGCTCATAACTTCCACTGTTAGATATATCCCCCAAGAGATTGAAAAAAACCTATCTTCACCCAATAAGCTGTACAAGAATGTTCACAACAGCCTTATTCATAATAGGCAAACATGGGGAAGCAATACAAATGACCCAGAATCCAAACTGATGAGTAGGTAAATAAAATGTAATTCACACAGTGGAATATTACTTAGTCATTAAAAGGAATGGAGTGCCAGTTTATGTTACCACATGGCTGAATCTCAAAAACATTATGTTACATAGAAGAAGCCAAGTCACAAAGGGCCAGATGTTACATGATTCTATCTATATAAAATGTCTATAGTAAGTAAATCCACAGGGACAGAAAGGAGATTGGTAGTTGCCATGGGCTGGAAGGGGGAAAGGAATGGGGAGTGACTGCTGATGTGCATGGGCTTCCTTTTGGGGTGATGAAATGTTCTGGAATTGGTGGTGATGGTTATGTACTATAACTTGGTAACTATACTAACAACTACTGGAGTGTACATTTTAAAAAGGTGAACTTTATGATACGTAAATTAACCTCAAAATTTAATTTTTAAAAATGCCAGCAGGGGTAAACCCAGGATGCAATTACCTGCCATCAGTGTCTTGGTGTGAGCGAGCCGATCAGGGCCCTGGAGAGTAAGAAAGGACCAGGATGGGAGCTCAGAGCAGAGCCCACAGAGCTTTCTCCAGCTGCTGGTGGCGCCAGCTGCTTTTCTCTCTTGCTCCTGGTCAAAACTTCTGCTTCTTTTTTGAGGTCCCAGCGCAATGGCTCTTGATCCATCAACACTTCCGCCTCCTTCCTCTTCCTCTTTTGTTTTTTGAGACACTAAGTATTCTGACCTTGAACTCACTAATGTAGCCTAAGCTGGTCCCAAACTCTCCATGATCCTCCTCTATCAGGCTCCTAAGTGCTGGGAGGTGCACAGTAGATGTGCACCACTACACCTGGCTAATACTCCCTTCTTGCCTAACACTCCGTCTCCTTTGGGGCCGTGGCCTGTATTTCCTCTTTAGCAATTGGGAAAGACACAGCTGGGTTTAGCTTTCTGCCCAGAGCTCTGAGCAGAGTCATGCTGAATGTGTGAGTGACAGTGTGCGTGTGAATGTGCTAGCCTTTTAAAGCCCCCAGCTAGGGGATGGGCCCAGAGGCTTTTCCAGGGCTTGCACAGTCCTGTGATAGCCCAGGTCAAACCTGCCCACCTTCTGGGAAGGCCTGATAACCTGGGACTGGTAAGTCCCACCTCAGGGCATTCCTGAGTTCCCATTCATCTAAAACAAGGCAGCTCACAAGTGAGGCGACCAACATGACTGTTTTGTTAAAAGCTGCACAAACTTTCTGTGGTCACTTCCAGCCAGCTCAGAAAGGTAGGACGCTTCCTGGGGGCCTGGAGAGGTGTGACTGTGAGGAGGGTCTGCTCTGATTTGGGGAAGGATCTTGTGCTTTGCCTGAAAGGGGCAGCAGCCTTTCAAGAGAGGAATGATGCCTTGAGCAGGCTGTGGCTCTTTGATGCCGCACCCCTGTAGCCCTGGTTTCCCTGGGGCCTAGGCAGGCCAAGCCAACCCACCTTGGAGTGAGTCAGAGTGGGCAGGCACAGCTGTCCGCTGCCCACTTTCCACCCCCCCCCCCAGGGTGTGGTTGCTGCAGGTCTTCTGGATTTGTAGGTAAACAAGAAGCCTAGGAATCTCTGAGTGGAAAAATGTCCTGGTCCCCTATAGTGTTCACCTCCCCACTTCATGGTGAATGATGGTCCAGAAGAGGTTGTGTCCTGTGTGTGCACACAAGCACGTGTATGTTGGTTAGGTGCACAGGATGTCAGCTTCAGTGTAAAACTCAGAATCTCAGAATTTTAGAGGGAAGAGGCTTAAAGATTAGGGAGGTAGTGCTTGATGCAGAGCCGGGGTGAGACCAGATCTCTGAACTCTTGCTCTGCTGTTTTCCTGACAGGCCACAGGGGCAAATGAAAAAGAACCCTGTGGGCAGCTGGGATTCGACAACTGCCCTTCGTGCCCAGCCCAAAGCCTCCACAGCCTGGTTTTCAAACTGGTAAGAGCATGGCCTGCTGCAAGCTAAAGGGGGTGGGTAGGGGGTGGGATTGCAACTCAACCGCAGCCTCACAAACTCCGTGGCCTCAGGACCCAGGCTCTGGGCAGCAGAGAGGGCATGGCTGGGGTTTCCGCATGCAGCCCCCAACGACCTTCTCTGCAAACAGTAATTCTCAAGGGGATGCTTCTCTCCACAGTTGTGGCAGGCTCATGGCTTGAGGCACTCTATCTGTCCGTGCCCTTCTACACACACCCACAGGATGGGCACCTGCCCTCCTGAGTACAGAGACAGGGCCTCACCACATTAGATCAGAATCTATCCCTGTGATTGTATATGTGGACACAGAGACGAGGTGGTTGGTTCTTTTTTCTACTCTACGCTCCCAGTGCGAAAGAAGCTATGTTATAGTAGCAAAGAATGAGGCCAATACATAGCAGGAGAGAGTCCTGACCCCAGTTCTCTGTGGAGTCTCTCATGTTTGGGGCCAGTGTGACCTCTAGAATGCCCAGTTTTATAAGTCAATAGACAAATTCTTTAAGGTAGGTGTAAGGTGGGCTCTTGTTGATTCTAACCAAGAAAGTTTTAACTAAAAGACAGGAAGTCTTAAATCTGAGGTGGATCTGAGAATATCAGCCTACTATGATGGGCAGGTACCAGATGCCAGGTACAGCACACTTTCCCAGGCTTAGAACAGGATGACGGAAGTCGGGATCCAGGTACCCCCATTGCTACCATGCCTAGGCTGGGACATGGAGGAGACAGTAGAAGCTTTGAAGCAGGTTATAAATTCCTTAGTGTAACATTTACCAGTACTATTGTGAGCCAGGAACTGAGGTCAGAATGGTAACCAGGCTAGATACACCCCATGGAGCTCCAAGACTAAATTTCCCAATGGCTATGCAGCTCTATCATTAACTAGCTGTTTGACTTTGGTGAGCAAAATATTTAACCTCTCTGAGTTACCATAATGTGTAAGATACATCCTGAGCCTGAGTCAGGGTTCATGAGATATTATTACAGAGCACCACCACGGAAACTTGCAGGAGACAGGCATCATCTCTGATCTCTCCACTCCTCCGGCTCACTTCTACCACAGAGGAAGTTCAGCAACAGGATGGGAGTTAGGGAGTGATCAAGTGATGACAGCAGGCCAGTTGGGCCAAGAAGTGGCCCACGACCAGGGCTTGAACTGGGGTGGGGGTAACACTACAGTGCGCTGGGGTAGTCAATAGGGAGGCTTCCTGGAGAGACGGTCTGGGAGAAAGAATAAGGATGGGAAAGATAGGGAGTGAGTGTGGTTAGGGCTGGAAAGATTGTGAGCATTGTGAGCATGAAGTCCCTGTCCGGTGGCTCCCCGGACGGGGATGTGATTGGATGCATTTGCTTTACAGCTCCAATGCTCTGAAGCTGGTGAGTGGGGAGGAGACTCGAGCAGTGTTGCTTTTCAGGTGGGGTTGGAATGGTAGGGTTAGGAGGAGGAGGATTCTGGAAGGGGACTGCCCAGGCCATGGGCACTCAGATTTCTTGGATGTAGCAGCAAAGGAGAACAAGGAGCCTGAGAAGCAAAAAGAACAGAGATATCCCTTACCAATACAGGACAGACAGGGTCTGGGCTAGCTTTTCGTCTGAGGCTCATGGGGCAGGAAATATTTAAATTATTTTTTAGACAATGCTGGGTCCATGGAGTACTGGAAGGCCATCTAGTGGAAATACATGCAAGTTATCACAGCAACAGGATTAGATTTTGTGATAGGGCAGGGCTGAAAGTGAACCAAAATAGATAGCTAAGCAGTCACGCTCAGTCTGTGGGTGCTGGGAGGAGGATGGCCATTTGCTTGGACTACTGGGGCTGGAGTGGTAAGGTGCTTTCTGAGGACTGGCAGCTTTGGCAGAGAGGTGAGGCGAGTTTTCTTCTCGGTAGGAAGGCAGCCCCTGACCTGAAGCTGGAGCCACCAGTGTAGAGAAAAGAAGCTAAAGGTTGCTACAAGGTCCCATTTTTGCAAGTCTTCAAGGAGACAGCATGGCCCATAGGAGGATCTGCTACCCCTGAACAGAGGCTGCTATGAGGGGTCCCAGGCTTCCAAGCCCTATGGCTCCTTGGAGATGACTGGTGTCTCAGGTACCCAATTGAGCAGCTGGCAGCAAGCAGGCAGCTTGCACCGCCCCGGGCCTCTTCTCCCCCAGCCCCGCTCCTGGCAGCCCAACCTCCCATAATTGCCTTCTAAAAATATCCTCCTCTCCACCCCCACCTCTTGATTTCAAAATATTTAGTTTTCAGGGTATTTAAAATGAGAGCTGGCGGCTCTTCCAGGCCCAGATAACAAAGCTAAACATTTATGCTTCGACTGCATTTCTCTGAATTGGCTGAGATCTCGGGCTTGATATGGCAACAGCAGGAGGGAGGGGAGTTGAGTGCAAGACGATCATGTGTGGGCCTCCTCAGGGCTGGAGGGCAACTGGCCCAGCCTCCTGAACCCCTTCAAGACCCTTCCCTGCCTTCCCTGCCCTGAGGGCCACCTACCGCTGTTGACATGGAGCCGGCCACGGACGGTGTCCTTCCCCAGGATGTTCTCGGCCTCGCACACGTACTCTCCAGCATCCTCCACCTTCACCTTGTTGAACTGAAGTCGTGAGTTCTTTCTGGTTAGAGAGGGGGCAAGAAGGGTACAGGCATGAGCTATGGCCTCTGAGGGTCCCCTGCAGTCACCTGGCGGTCACCTTTTCCCACAATGCCACAATAGCTGTGCAGGTTGGGTGGGAGGTGGATCACTCAGTCTTGCCTTCTCTGGGGTCCAGGTGGAATGTTGAATCCCCAAGCTGGAGGAAGACTAGGAACCTCACTCAGGACAATACAGGGTGAGGCCAGTGGCTCCAAGTTTTATGCACTTATGAATTCTTACATCTATTCCTAGGGCTAGGTCTTCTTTGTAATGCTTTTCTTGGGGGAGGAGAACCAAGTCCCTTAGGAAGTCACATGGCCGTGTCCCTCACTTCCAGTGGCCTCAGCCTTCTTTAGAAGTGGCAGCTTGTCACTGTAGATGTGTAGGGACTACTCTCAGCACTTGGTTTGAATATATATTGTTGACCCCTAATGCAATGGTGTTGGAGGTGGGGCCTAATGAAAGGTATTACATTACAAGGGCTCCACCCTCATGAATGGATGAATGGGTTTGCTGGGCGTTTGGCACCCCCTTCAATCTCTCTCTCACTATGTGATACCTTCTGTCATGTTATGGTGCAGCATAAAGGCCCTCACCAGATGCAGGACCTTGACTGTGGACCTCCTAGCCTCTGAAACTCTGAGCCTAATGCATTTTTCCTGTTTACAAATTACCTGGTCTGTGGTACCCTGCTATAGCAGCAGACTGGACTCAGATACTGGGGAGAGTCACAGTTCGACAGGTTCAGGTAGTAACTCAGCTCGTATCCCAATCCTGTGGCTCTCCTCTTCCTCCTATCAGACCTGTCACTAAGGGAGTCCTGTGTGGCCTTCTGCCACCTCAGTACCTCAGGGCACAAAAAGATTCTGACTTGGTGTTCATGGCCAGTGTAGGTGCTTTTTTTTTATAGATAGTAAAGTTAAGTACTACAGGGTTTCCTGACTTGCCCAAAGACACCCAGCAAGGCAAGAGCAAGGACTAGGAGTTACGGTCGATGAGGACGTGGGCTGTCTCTGGGCATCTGAGGCGGGTAGTCCCTCTTTATCCAGTCCCTGCATGCTGAGAATGTGGGGCCAGGCCCAGCAGGCTCCCCTGGCACTGGCACTCCATGATACCCAGCGCTGGTTCCCTTCTTCTTTCTGAAGTCTTGGGCCAAATTTCCTTCCTTCTCAGGGCTGCCCTATACCTACTCCAGGGTGTGTGGGCTCTGCAGCTCTTACCCCTTCTTCTGCCCAGTGCTACTGGGGGCAAGCAAGAACCCACTATCTGATCCCAGCCTGGCTCACGGGGGTAAGCAAGAAGTAGAATGAACGTCTGCACATGGTTTGCCCAGCCCTCCATCCCATTTATGTTTGGTAGTACTAGAGCTTGAACCAGGGCCTTACATGTGCTAGTTAAGTGTTCTGCCACTGAATTACACCTGCAGTCCTAACCTCATTAGGGATGAATTAAAAAACCAGATCCTCAGAATGTGCATGAGGTGTCACAGGGCTTGTGGAACACAGGACAGGGTGTAGGAGGGCTGTCACTGCCTGGAGCCAAGGGATGGAAAGTGGGCCCATGAACTGCTGGAGTCAGGGGACAGGTGGGGTGGGCGGGGAGGCTGGGCCAGGGTCAGAGAGATACCATCGGGCCTGCAGTCCGTGTGCTTCTGGGGCCTCTCCCCTAGGATTGGCCTTGTGTCCAAAGGTGGCCTCTCCCCCAACATCCTCACCCCAAGACCCCGAAAGAAAGGTGCTGCAATGTTGTCAACAGACCCTACTGCTCTGGTGATTTCCTTGTAAGGGCGATAGCTGCTCAGCCACACCCTGCCCATCCTGGCTTAAGCCTGCCTTGGTCTCCTGGCCTGGTGCCTGCCCACTACCCTCTTCTTTTCATTAAAATTTGAACCTCATTAAATGGAGCCCTGGAGGCCCCTCTGACTAAGACAGCATCTCCTTTCCTGCTGCAGCCTATTTAGATGCCACAAAGCCCAGCTTCCCCAGGACGAAGCTTATCTCACTTCCCTGCACACTGGATGGGATGGGCAGGGGATTATATGAGGGTCAGGGGGTTGATGTCTAGGGAAACCCAGAGCCACCTATAGCTACATTCACAGGAGCTTCAGGACAAGGCAGAATGGGGCTCATGGGTATCTGCAAGGGGAAGCTGGACCTTTGAGAAGGGCTCCCTTGTGAAGGAAGGCATGTGCCGTGCCAAAGAAGCTGGGGGTTCCTCGTGGAGGAACAGGGGGCCACACGGACCCCCAGGTTTGCAGGTTGTGGGTGGCTTGCTTTGCTAGGGGTTTATGGATCTCAGGGATGTGGGCTCCAGAGAAGGAGAGGCTCGGGGTATAGCTGATGAGGGGGCTCTGTAAGTTTCTCACAGCACAAAGCCAGCAGCCCCCTGCATTCTCTCCTCACCCCGGTTCCAGCTGGAATCCCTAAGGACCTTCCTGGCAGGCGAGAGGCTGTCTCAGTGTCCCATCAATGTGCTGACCCAGGTCTGCCCTTGTGCAGGGTGCCGTCCTGCCCTCCCCTGCCAGTTCTCTGCTGGCAGGGACAGATCTGGGCGGCCTCATATTTTCCTCTGCACCTCCCTCCCCTGCCTGCAGGGCGAGTTCCAGCCTGCTCCTCGTAAATAAGGGCACATGCAGTTCTGTAGGGGTGAGCCCGTGCCCAGGGACTGGGAGGAAGTTTTCTCCTGGCACAGGAAGGCCTGGTGAGAGTCCACATTTGGCGGGCACAGAGACAGAAGGCACCAGCTGGGGAGAGGGTCTCTGCAGGCCAAACCAAGGGCAGCCTGGGCAGGCAGAGCGAGAGGAAGGCTGTGAAGACAGTTGCAGGGCAGGCAGGTAGGAAGAAGTTTTCCAGAGAGGAGACTCCTGCCCCTGCCCCTGGCCTCTGTGCCAGGTGAGATGGGTAGAGTGTGTGTTCAGAGGGCTGGTGTGCACAGGTGGCAGCTCTCTTAGGGTCACTCTGAGGAGACCTGAGTCACAGAGAATCAGAAGCTCCCCATCACTTCCCGGGCCTCCACCACAGGGCAGCCATACAAGGACATTCAGTATGCAGTACATGGGCAAGGCCTAGATATGCAGGGGCCAGGGATACTTCAGATCCAAAACCACCATATCCAGGGGAAGTCTAGACCAGGCCCTGGGGCTGGACAGGGCAATCCATCTGCCAGATGAAACTGAGGTTTAACCAGGAAGTGACTTGTTTAGAAGACTAAAGAATTCAAAGGGCATCCTGCTCAGCCTGGGGGCACCCAGGAGAGAAGGTTCAGTCCTGCGAGAATCTCCCCAGTTCAACACTTGCTGGGCTTACAGGGGAAAATGGAGTGTAAGGGGGTGCTAGTCTTTGAGGTTCTCTCATGTTAGAAGGAATAACGTCCCTTAACGAAGCCCCATGAAGTCATGTGTAAGTCACCATTAGAGGAGACAAGTGCTACCTGGAGCACTTGGGCAAGTGTCCCCAAGATGTGACATTTAAGCTGGACCTTGAAGAACTTTGCCAGAGACAGAGGAGACAAGCTGTTCAGTGCAGGGAACAGGCTGGGTCCAAGTCCAGAGTCATGAAAGCAAAGACCCTGCTGGGTGTGCAGTTGAGGAGCAGAACAGTTACATGCAAGCTAGGAAGTCAGAAGAGCTCCAAACCTATCCTTAGTTTAATGCAAGCTCTCTAGACCTGCTGAGTAATGACACCACATACATGTCCTCGTTAGAAAGATCAACTTCTGTAGGCACTCTTGGAGGTCAATGATTCTAGTGGTCTTTGGACCTCTAGAATTACAGGCAAAAATGGTACACAATGTACATTTTTTTTGTTCTAACAAAAGGGTCAAGGATTCTATACTGGAGCCCAGAGTACACAGACATGAAGGGAGTGCCATAGCTGCTTGGTTCTTGATGGTTTCCAAGTACATAGCTTATAGTCAGTAATACACATCAGAAACAGTAATGAATTCACAAATGCCCATGGCCCAGAAATGTGGACAGTGGTCAAGAGTAGTCAAAAGCTAGAGGCAAGGAGGCCAGGTGGGCAACATACAGGGTGGGGAGAAGAGTACCTCCTTCCAGAGATGTGGGGCCCAGCTGAGGGATGCTAAGTGGGCAGGAGCTGGGCCACAGGGAGGCCGGGGTGCACAGCTGAGATGGGGCACAAAAGGATGAACCGGGGCAGGCAGAGAAGCTGGCAGGGGTGTTCTGAGTCAGAAGTGCCTGCAGGGTCTTAGGGTGGTGTCTGGGAAGGCATCAATCCTGGAGATGGAGTCTTGCGCTCTTAGATATTTATAGCCATAGGAGAGAATAAAATCACCCACAGCTAGACAAGGAGGGAGGCACGAAGCCTATAAACAGGGAAAGTCCAGCATCGATGGTGTCTGACAGAGTGGTTGGACACAGGAAGACTGGGGAGAGCCCACAAGGGCAAGGTGACTGGCGGCTCCCTAGCAAACACTGCTTAGAGACCCCGAGGCCTGGAGCCAGGGAGTCCAGAGGATGCTGGGCTTCTCAAGAGCCACAGCCACGGCAAGGCTGGGGATGTACTGAAAAACCAGACTGGGGCAGGACAGTGTGGGTGGAGGATGCAGCCAGTGGGCGAGAGACAAACTCCTGTAGAGTAAGGGAGAGAAGGCAGGAGGTGAGGCCATGGCTGGAGGAGGACAAGGAAGCAGCAGTCTGGACGGTCAGCACTTAGAAGAGAAGTGACAAGAGTGAGCATGCTGGGAGGGATGAGGCCAAAGTTACCACAGAAAGGAAGGAGTTGGTGATGCCACAACTTTGTGTGTGTGTGTGTGTACATGTGTATGCATGTGTATACTCATGTGTACAGCGCAAGTGTGGTGCAGGGGAGGGTGAGATGAGTGTGAACAGGTGGGGGGCATGCTCAGGAGTAATGTGGAGGGTGAGGGTGAGCATGATCCTACAAATTCCTGGTCTCAATGAGGCAGGGAACAGCCGTCTAGACAGGAGGGCAGCAGCTCCTCTCTCAAATCCAGCTCTAAGACCCCTTCTCCCTGGCTGGGGCCCAGCTTCAAAGGGCGGAAGAAAGGGGCAGGGTAGCTTCAGGTGGCTGGGGAGGTGCCCTGCATTTCTTGCCAACATGATAGACTGGGGACATACAGGAATATCTCCCATTCTATTCTCTACTAGCCACTAAGATATTTTTCTTTCCCCTCCCTTCCCCTCCCCTCCCCTCCCCTCCCCTCCCCTCCCCTCCACTCCACTCCCCTTCTCTCTCCTCCCTATCCTTCCCCTCCTGTCTCTTCTCTCTTTTTTTCCTCTTCTCTTTTGTGGTATTGGATATGGAACTCAAGTGTCTTTGTACTGAACTATATATCCACCTTTAACTTTTTTTTTTAAATTTTCAGACAGGACCTCATTAAATCACTAAGTTGCCGAGGCTGAGCTCAACCTTTGAATTCTCTTGCCTCAGCTTCCCTGAGTTCTGGCATCACAGTTCTGTGCCACCATGTCTGGTTAATCACTACAATTGTCTTCAAATGTGGCCTTTTTTCAGCCATAAACATTTGACCTAAACCAAAGCCTTCCTAAGTTACTTTCTGTTGCTGTCTGGGCCACTTTCTGGGGGTGAATAATTCTGTATCTGTTCCTGCTCTTGGACAGAGAGCTAGATATAGGAGGGTCAGAGGATGTCCCTTGACCCCCACATCCTCTTTTGTAGGTCCCTAACATGTGGTCCAGAGGCAGGATGTGTGCAGTAAGCCACATAACAAGCCAGCTGCGGCCAGGAATGGCACTTTCTCTCTGCTACTGTTATGGGGGGCTGGATATTCTCTAAAATCATCTTCATTTGCATTTTGTGGGGTGAGGAGGAGAAAGGAGATGACAACCTGGAAGGGAGGGGCAGCGTGCTTCTCTGGGGAGGGGGGGTGGGAAAAGGTTGGGGTGCTCCTCCCCAGAGAGGGTCATCCACCTCGTCCCCGGTGCTGACAGCCTGCTCGGGCAGGACACCTGTTTAGCCAGCAGTAAGAGATCGGGGGCTGCTCTTGAACTTCAGGATTGCACTGGCCATTCCAAGATGGATGAGAGGCCACCTTCTACAACACAGAGCCTCTGAGTCACTCCTCTGGAGCACAGACTCAAGACTGAGACAATTGTCATGCCATGGGGGAGGCTGGTGGAGGTAAAGACTCCTCTAATGCCAGTCAAAACCCATTTTCCCTTTCTCCTTAGTGCGCTCTGACAAGTAGCAGCTTGCTAAACTGAGAAACCATCCCATTGTCTCCTGTGACCTCCCTGCTTTTGGCTGGGTCTTTTGACAACAATTTCCACATTCGGGGCCTTTCAGACTCTGTGCTTGGTCCTTTGCAAAGAAGATTTAGGGACAAGCAAGGATTTCCACTGGTAACACTGATCTTGACAATCAAGACTCTGACTGCTTAATTCTTGTCTTCAGTCTGCTGTGCGCGGGGCCAGTGTCAGCAGAAGGGTCAGAGCTCCAGGGAGAGGTGTGGGGTGGCCAGGACGAGCGGCACGCAGTGGGGCTGCTCCGTCCACACGGGCCCGCCTTCTCAGATGGGCCGGAGGGCGGGACGGACGCTGCTCACCTGCCATTGCCGTACTTGATGCGAATGTCGCGGCTGCGGTTGAGCTCCTTGCCGTCCTTGAACCAGCGATAGGAGGGCTGGGGGTTGCCGGCTGCTGCCTCGCACTTCAGGGATTGCTTCTCACCCACCTGTCCCGTCTGGCTTTTCATCTTCTTCAGCTTGGGCCGGGCGGCTGTGGGGAACAAGGCAAACAGATGACGCATGGTCAGAAGGCTGGGACCGGAGAGGGAGGGGAGGCGAGGAACCAGCCTCCTGCTCTCATTTCCAATTTCAGGTCAACCAGCATTGATAGACCCTACAGTGAGACAAATGCGCCGCGACTTACGGGGTATCCTTTTGTGCCTATAATGTACCGAGAGCTTTATGTTAGCTTATAAAACTTCCACAATAATTCCATGAATCCAATGCAGTGTTGAAACCCATTTTAAAGGCAGAGAAACTGAGGCTCAGAGGGTGAAAGTTACTTCCCAAGTAGGGCGGTGATGGAACTGAAGTTCAAACCTAGATCATGATCCCAGCATTCATGATCTAACTCCTGTCCCAAACCTAAACTCAGATGTGTGCTGGACCCAGGGGACAGGCTGGCTCACATGCCTGCAAAGTCCAGCCTTGCAGGGGAGCTGCACCTGGCATTGCGTAGCTCGTGGGGACCTGGGGACAGTGGAGCCCAGAGGAGATGCCCTGGCCCTGGGGATGGGGTTCACTCAACTAAAAGCTAAAGGGTGCATCTAGAAGTGGGGGAGTGAGCTAGGTAGAAGCAGCACTGTGGCTTGGTGGGGGTCACATGTGCCCTGGGGAGCGGACTGACAAGTGTGTGAGGTGGTACGGGGTTGACAAGGCCTGAGCTGTGCTTCTGGATGCAGGCCTGGTCATGGATGCAAAGCTGAGTTTCCTGTTTTTCTTAGGCCCTATTCTATTTCCATGCTTCATTTCCTTGCTCTTCTCCCTTCCATCTTAAAAGAAAGAAAGAAAGAAAAGACAGAAAAGAAAAGAAAGTCCCTTATTCTCAGGAAGGTGGTGGTGGGGAGCCTTGTAATTTCCCCTGGCAGAGCTCTACACTAGGGTGGAGGGGACACGGGTACACGGGACGCCTGACACTTTCAGGTACACCTCATTTGGCCCTTGAGCTCTTTGAGACAAGTGTTATGGTGACACTGATGGTGAGGATGAGACTCAGAAGTTCAGAAACTTGACAGAAGCCACAGGCAGCCAAAGAGCTAGGAGCACAGCCCAGAGGTTGGATGTGAGTGCGTCAGGCTGGTGGCCGGTGGGTGCTTTCTGTGGCCTCGTCTCTTTTGAGAGCTGGAGCCCTGATTCCACTTCTCCCCGAGCAGAAGGGAGGGTTGAGGGGCCTGTCTAGGGCAATGATCCTGGCTCGGGTGGCTCAGAGCTCTGACAGCGGCCACAGGTGGTTCTGGAGAGGGTTTGGCTAGCGACCAGGGTGCCCTCCTTGAACTCAGTCCCTGCTTGTGAGGAAGAGGTGAGCATGAGGTGCAGAGGAGAGGAGAACACAGGAAGAAGCCCCTGAGCGTGTGCTCCACGGGCCTCAGCAATGACTTCTGTGAAGTAATTCTGTTCATTTTAGAAAATTAAAAAGTACAGATGGGTGAAAAGAAGTAAATAAAATCATCCATTATCTCAGTACTCAGAAATAACACTCCCCACGCACCCTTTTTAAACAAAATGGGATCAGTGTCAGTAGCAAGTTTCTTTCATTTAATGAAACAATGCACTTCCATTTTGGTGGTAAATATTAAGGAAAGCATTTTCTAAAATGAATTCTATAAGACACAAGTATCTGAAGAGATGAAAATTCGTATTACTTGAGACAAAGTTTCCCTTAAGAAAGAAAATGTTTTGGGAAATATGCAGGTAAGGGCTTTGAAACTTTTTTTCATGGAAGCCTTAGTAGTATTTCAAGAAAATAAGTAGAACATATTCTGTAACATAGCTAATAGGTTATATTTTTAGAGACAAATACTTGGAGTTTTGGTGGTACTGAGTTCATACTCCATTTCTAGTCCTGTTTCATTTTTTCAGTTTGAGGAAGTCTCTTGCTAAGTTGATAAATTTTCCAAGTTGGGCTCAAATTTGTAATCTTCTTGCCTCAGCCTCCCAGAAATCTGGAATTATGGGTATGTGCCACCACACCTGGCCTATAAATACGTTTTAATAGATAATATATTCACAGGATTCAACATTTAAGAGGTGAAAAAGGTGCTAGGAGTACATAAAACAAACAAATTCCTCCTCTAATTTTTTCTTTTTTTGGGGGGTAGTGCTGGGAATGAAACGCGGGATCTTGAACATGCTAGGCAAATGCTCTACCACTGAATTCAGCCCTCCCTCTCACTTCTGACATGGCCAATCAATTGCCTTTCCAGGTGATCAAAGAATCATCAGTTCTTTTGATACCCTTTCAAAGATCTATGCACTTACAAAATATGAACGAACAAACAAATCCTGGCATTTAAACATACATTTTTCCATAGAATCATTTTTCATCCTTATGCAATATTCCTGCCTGGGTGCATCATAATGTATGTAACTGATTGCCATTGTGAGGCATTCAGCATGTCCCCTGCTTGTCCATCACAAACGACCCCAGGCATCTTTGCAGCGTTTGTCTGTGAACACCAGGGGTTCACTGCTGTGAAAGCAGTGACTCTGTTTGAATCCAAGCTTTGCTGGGTATCATCGCATTGACTTAATTCTTTTGCACCTCAGTTTGCAAACTGCAAGACACAGGTGATAAACAGAAGCTCCTGATGATGGCTGTGAGGATTACATGAGATAATGCATGTAGAGCCTGGCACACAGAGAGCATTTAATAAAGGTTAGCTGTTCTTACTATTATTATTATCCACAACCCTCTCCTAAGGCGCTCTTCCTCAAAGTGGAATTGCTGCGTCAAAGACTAAACAAGCTTCCTCAGCTTTGGTACTCAGCCAAATTGCCCTCTGGAAAGGTTGCACTAATTTGCACCCCCCAGTGAATGATAGTGTCTGTTTTTTCCACACCTTCACCCACATGAGGCATTATCATGTCTTTAATCTCTGCCAATTAGCTAGGCAAAAGATAATGTCTCTTTGTTGTTGTAATTTGCATTTATTTGATTACTGATGAGGCTGAACATTTTTCATAAGTGTATCAGTCCATTGTATTTCTACTTTTGGAACTGCCTGTTCATGTCTAGAGTTTTTTTTATTGAGTGCTCATCTTTTTTTACTGCTTTGTAAGAGCTCTTTAGAAATACAAAGGCTATTAACCTTTTGCTACAATGTTTTTTCATCAGTCACCTGCTTCTCATATTTTGAAATACTGTTTTTTCTCTCTTCTTAGCCAAAGACTTTATGTGCATCAGTGTTTGCTGGACCTTTAGGAATGTCATTATTCTAAACATGATTAAAGTCCTGCCTCAGCATCCTTCTTGACCCGCACCCCAGCCTCCTGTGTCTGTTCTGGAACCCCCAAATCATGCCTTTGCCATGATTCCTAAGTCTGGATGCTAATAAGAATCACGTGGAAGTTTTAACACTTCGGCAGTTCTGGGAGCATGGGCTGGGCATGCACTGTGCAGTCGATGGCCACTGCTTAACAGGTGGTGGTGGGCCGGGGTGTAGCACAGAGACACACAGACATGGCCCTTATTCTGGGGCCCGAGGAACTGGGGGCTCCAAAATCATTCTCTGCCCTCGGGGAAACACAGGATTGCACTTCAGATCCCAAGGAGCCTACTCCATTGGGCAAGAATGTCATGTGACTCTACAGCTACTTCTCATGGTTCACTGATTTCAGAACAACTATATGTTCACTTGTATTCATTCATTCATTCATTAAATTCCTTTCCAATTAATGAATAATTGAATGCATTCCACTTGCTATATGCCAGGCCCTATTCTGAGTGCTGAGTGTAGAAAAGTGAATAAGACAGATGAGCATCCTTCTCTGAGTCTGAATTTCTTTTTTTCTTTTTATCGGTACCAGGGATCGAACTCACGACCGCCTGCTTGCAAGGCAGGTGCTTATGCCGCTGAGCTAAATCCCCAGCCCCCCGAGTCTGAATTTCAATGAGGGGCACAGATAATCAGCAAGTAATAATCAGGAAAGAGGAGACAGGGATAATCATCCAGATAAAGGCCCTAAGGTGGGCATTAGCTTGGGGCACTCACAGGCCTAACAGAAGCTTACATGTCTGGGAGCGAGTGAAAGATGGGGTGACTTGAGGAAAGCGGGCAGAAGCAGTAGTGCCCGGTGACACGGCTGTGAGATCCAGAACCAAAGGTCAGGATTCACTCTTCTTTTTGTTCTTTTTTTGGTACTGGGGATCAAACTCATAACTTTAGGCAGGCGCTTATGCTGCTGAGCTAAACTTCCAGCCCTTCGCTCTTATTTTAAAAAAACTTTTATGTGCCTACTAGAAAATTTTAAGTTACATATGTGTATGATATTTTATTTATATTGGACAATGCTGGCCTAGAGAATAACAAAACAAAGATAAACATACCGTATTCTTTACAAATCATACTATATTCTTTAAAAAAAAGTGTATCGCTCTTAATGATTCCTCCTAAGAATCACCTGAAGCTAGGGCCAGCCTGACCTTGTAGGCTGCATTTTTCTCATCAGGAAAATTCCTTAGTGGGAAGCAGCTGCAGCAGCTCAGGTGGCAGGAAAGAGAAGAATGTATACCAGATGGCCCTTGGGATATGCCTGGGGGGACCACTGCACCCTCTCCCTTGAGTCCAGAGCCCTGTCAGGCATTTTGTGGCAGGGGCTCGGGTGACCTTCCGAATCTGGGCCTGGATTTTGTAAGTATGACAGGAAGGAATTAGAGGCTTATGAATTAGGCAATGACCTGATCTTACTGTCTGCATTTTAAACTTTTTATTTTATTTTTTGTCTTCTTAAGACAGGGTTTCACTATGTAGTTCAGGCTGGCCTTGAACTTACTTTGTAGCCCAGGCTGGCCTTGAACTTGCAGGAATCCTCCTGCTTCAGCCTCCGGAGTGTTGGGATTACAGGCATGCGCTGTGGCACCCAGACTTTTAAACTCTTTCTGAACCTGACCCACTATTACTTCTTTCTCTGTGGCTTCCAGTCATTAGATCCAGTACCCCTGGGGTCACCTGGGGTGTGCAGAGTTTGCTCACATAGCAGAACTTGGACACT